CCCTAATTATTATGCTGGCACTCAGGAGATAATTTTTCCCTTCATGCACTGCCAATTAATATGCAAATGAGCTGATAAATATTTATACCGAGATTTAAATTATGCAGGGAGCGCTTTCGGTGTACTCTGCAAATGAATTGTTCATGGACTTCAAAGTGCTGGCTGCTGTGCTAACGAGGGGAGATTTGCATAAGGCCCTAATCAGGCGCATACTGATTAAGCTTCATTATGGAAACTGCCAGCTGCAATCTTTGTTTCTATTTTATTACAAAAAGGGGAACTTTTCACGCTTCAGTCGCCTTGACAATGTCAGACACTGCTAGTAGGAGAGACTAAAACTCCACAGAGCAACTGAAGTTTCCCTGTTCAGTTGAAGATTGCTATGGTGTAACTGAAGTTGTATTTCTTCCCCCACCTCCCCGCTCCCTTTCTTGTGTCGTTGAGAGCAGTAGTGTAGATTTGATAGAAATTGCCATTCTCCCTTTCCTTGGACTGTCTGAACCTGTAGAGGATACCACAGCAATGCTGGACTGCAGTGACTACGTTCTAGGTGGGTACCAGCTCAGCTCTTTCTTATAAGTGTTTAATATGGAAATAGAGGGTGTGAGGTTGACTATGCATAGAGGCTTAATCACATATGCAGAGGCAGAGAAGGTGCTTGTAAGGCTGAAGCTCACCAGTGCATCGGCAGTGAGGAAATGCCTTATATATATGTATTGTATGTGTCATACCGGGGAAATAAGTTATTTTCTTCTCCCCTTTCCCTCGATCCAAGAGAATTCTTTTCCTCTGCACTGAAGGGGCTTGTTGTTGGGCTTAGGAGATACTGATGCAGACCGTATGCTTTTTGGATTTCAACGTGAGAAGCATTTAGCTTCTAATAAGCATTGAGACTTAAGACTTGACTTGCATATCTGTGTGTTTCAAATTTTAAAACATGAAAATGAGTGAGAGAGTTGCAGTCTCCAAGAATTTACTGGCCGTATTGAGCCATTCCCCAACAGAGTGTATATTATGTCTGTGTATTTCTAATGTAATAGCGAGGTTCTTCGCGCGTAATAGAAAATAAGGTGGAGTCCACAGCGGTTGCCATTGATACCGTTGCAAGCTGTGCCTAAGGTTACTGGGATAATGTATTTGCTGAGCTGAGATTTCATCAGGACTGCAGAACAGGCATGCCATATTTTCTTCTAAATGTAGTTTTAAGTTACTTACAAGAAACTGATAATCTCAATTTTGCGGGAGATTTTATTTATTTTCAAGGCTCTTTCCCTGGAGCTCAATGTATTGATTTTTATTTTTATTTTTTATTTTTAAATGCATTGTATCTCTATATAAAGAACGTTTTTGGATGGTAAATTTTAAAGCAGACACCTGAATATTTGTTTCTGAACATGAAATTGGTTTTCTGAAAATGAATTTCTACTCTAAACCTTCAAGTGAGTTCTTGGTACGTTTTTACTCATGTTGAACTTTGTTTTTTTTTCCCCATATGTGTCACTGAATCATTTTTGCTGGTTCTGTCGGAGCATTAGGTACTTTCACTTTGGGTGAAAGGAAACAATGAGTGATGTACTGGTTAAGGTTTAGCTTTTTACTAGGTCTGCATAGATTCTAATGCTGCAGGCTGGTCCCTTGCCTGCTTCTTCCTTCTGCATGCCTTCTGAGACATGCTGAGGAGCTGTGGGAGCGCGGCACAGTGCTGCCAGCACGGCAGAGTGCTGCCTGGGTTCGCCTCCGAGAGCTGGATCTCAATCACACACCTGCTGCTTTCGATCCTCCTCCTGCTGAGTGTGCTGCTCGATGAGGTTGGCAGAAGTTGTAGCCCAGGGCCTTTATTTAAAACACAGCTAAAGTCTGAAGGGAGGAAAAAGGATGAGGGCGTCAGGCCTTTTTTTTTAGTTCACTTCATTTGTTTATTCCTTTAACTGAAGCAGAAGTCTTATGAGTATGTATAAACTGTGCGTGTGTGTGACATAATGAATCTGTAGGCTTAGTATCCTGCAGATATGTCTGTTTGGCTGGTGGCAGTTTTGTGCTTCAGATGTGTGTGTCATACCATTTGCAATGGAAATAGCGGCATTGTTCGTGATGCTTTACATGCAGAAGGCCCACAGATTGAGCAAGAGTAGTCAGCTGGTGTAATAATGGATGCCATCCTTCGTTCGAATTTGAGCGATGCTAAAACGACGTTTTGGTGTCCAACTTGCTGATTTTTCACAGTAATGACACTTGAGGACTCTCGGGGTCAATCCTTGTGATGAAATATTTGTCAGGTGGACTCACTTTTGCTACTTGAGTCAACTTCATTTATCTGTCTAGTATTAGTTAACACTGAAAACCTTTTTTTTTAAAAAAAAAATATATATATATTTTACAATACTTTAAAACGAAAGAAGACATCTCTTGCCATATGAAAAGAGTTCTGCTTTTGTCCTGTTAACAGTCTGCATGTTGCGCAAGAAGTTGTTGGGTAGCAGTGCTTGCGGTGCTGTGTGCAAGACAGTTGCCGCCCTGCCCCTAGGTGCAGCTTGATGCCAATGTGGGTATCGTGCCTGCTGGCTCTAATACTTCAGTTTGCAACCGAGTAGCCCAGGAGTCCCTGTTTTTTATCTTGGGAAGGGCTTTCTGAAGTCCTTGAGCAAGTGGATCCTGTGTTGTTCAGGGGTGATCTCCTAGACTGTGCATTTCAGTGATCAGTGCTATCATGAGCTCAGGCTATCCTGCTCTGGGCCTAAAAATATATCCTACATCCAAAAGCTCTGTAGATTAGCCTGCTTTCACGGCCAGATGTATGGGGTTTGGAGCCCATCTTGCTCATGGTGCTGCTGGACAAGCACTCTTCATGTTTGTCCAAATGTCCTTCATGTCCAAATAGAAGTCTCCTGCCCAGTGTTCTCAGAAGCCAAGCATATTTCAGTGGCCAGCTGCATGTGAAGGAGCAGATTAGCGATGTTTATCAAACAAACCTTGCCTGTAATTGCTTCAAACAAATGCACTGTTACCACAACAGTGTAGTCATTTAAGGTGCGTGCAACTACTAAATTAAAACAAACACAAATTGTTTTTCATGCAGACCCACCAGCAGTGAGTGGCACATCAAAATAGCCTGTTTCCTGTGTAGTCTGTGGGAGACTCTCTCAGTTAGTAGCGCGTAAATGTTGCTATCCAGATGTGGAAAATGACCAAAAAAAAAAAAAAAACAACAGAAAAAAACCCTGAGAAGTTGTAGGTTCTGTTCCTACAGCCTTAATGAAGCTCTGCTCTAGGCTGTACCTTGAAGCAGAGGTGGTGAAAGGCAGCGCAGAACCTCAGCCTTTTGTTGAAACGTGGGCCAGAAGTGTTCAGCTGGGGTGGTTCTCACTTGTTCCCTGTTTCAAAAGGCAGTTTAACATGTTTGCCTTCACGCTGAAAGGAGTGTTCATAAGGGAGCATGTCTGAAGCCAATTCAGGTATCTTTTATACTCAGCTGACCTTTACAAGGTTTAATCATAGCCATAGGAACTTACTATGAAGAGCCGATACTTTGGAGAGGTTGAAGTAACTTGACGGGCAGATTCATTTATTACCACCCTCTGGGTTTTCTAGGCCCCACTTGCTTCAACTGAAGCACTTGTTTACATGGAAAATTGCATTAGTTTTAAAAACACTGACATGTCTTAAATCGTGTTTCCTAACTGAGCATTGGAGTTTTTCCAAATGTCTTTTACTGATTCTCTCTCATAAGCTGCATTTCTAACTGGTTCCTTCCTCTTTCAACCCAGTACACCCAGACGAGTTCCATTGCAACTCCTGTTTTCTTTCAATCACTGCTCAAGTGCTCGTTCCTTCCATTTGATTCATACTTGTATTCTTCCTCTGCTGTTGCCCCTGGCTCTGTTATCCCAAGGAGCACACTGTTTTCCTCTAGGCAGCAGATGGTAGCACGTGGCAGTAGTCTGTGTTCTCACCTCCAGCGCTTTCCTGGGCTGTCGAGCAATGGAGGGGCTGGACATTCTTGGAAATACCTGGGGAAAGACACAGGAGTTAATACCATTATTGTATTCCTCTTCAGCTTGTTGGTGTTTTGGAGATCACTGCTTTGACGAAACAAGTAACCTTTTAAGCACCTTGCAAGAGAATATCCTGAAGTTTATATTCATTTCAAGCTGGTTGAGTTTGTGTTTAACTGGTTATGGGAATGAAAGAATGTACTTAAGGATTTGTTTATGCTTCGCTTTATGAGCTGGTCTATCTTGAGATTCCTTTTGTAATTTTCATTTGCATTAATGTGGCACATCAATGTGGCTGGTTGCTAGGAATGAGGAGGTAATAAGTTGTAGAGCTGATGCTGTACACACAACATCTGTATAGCTTCCTATATAAGGAAGCTATATTCTGTGTCTGCCATCTGGAAAGGCTCTGTGTTGCACAGCATTTAGCTGACACCTTTCAGATCCAGAGCAGGCTTTTCAATAGGTTCATCTATTGGGAGAAGGAGGAGGAATGTATTTCATATTTGTAAGGTTTTGCATGAATGTATAGGAAATATTAAATTTAATATTGGTGGCATTTCTGTAAAATAAAAATGTAGTTTTAGATAAATGGCATCTATTCAAACATAATGGCTGAATGTAGTCCTTGGTGGTCAGACTTAGTGTTTTTGAATCTTTTCGTAGTTGTTCCTTTTTGGTTTTTTTTCTTTGTTTCTCTATTTCAGTGTACTGAAAACTAAGTTCTGCCTATCCTTGCCTTCCAACGTGCTCTTTTTATTCCTCAGCACTATGCTTTTACAAGTCAACAATGACATACAAAATGTTGAAATTGTATTTATCTGGAAAACTCAATATTATGCTCTGCTTCTGATGATTCTTTGTGTTATAAAATAAGCTGAATTAGAGTAAATTACATATTGAATTCAAGATGTTCTGTGTATCTCTTGGACAAAAAGATATGATTAGGTTTGTGTAGCATTTTTTTTTTGTGTTCATCACTATATCTTTTTCTGTTTTAATGCAGACTCAAGAATGAACAATCCGTCAGAAACCAGTAAACCATCAATGGAGAGTGGAGATGGGAACACAGGTGAGAAATGATTAATTGATACACAGGGATTTCTATCATCAAATTAAATGAATATGAAAAGTTAATCTTATTTTTTTATTTTTTGCCAGTGTACAGGAACAACAACAATATTGTAGAAGAGGACCCCAAAAAACACATGTAGAATTTCAGGGACAGGGAGAGTTCCTACACCTGGTGTTTTTAGAGACCTGAGAACACCACATGTCTGTACGAAAAACAAGTCATTAGCCATGCTGTATGTAGGGCACTACTCGTGCACTTATCAATATGTTTATAAGATTCTCTATTCCTCCTTCTTGTTTGTAATGCTTCTGATATCATGAAAAATCTTGTGGCTCTAGCTCTCCATAAAGTCATCTCATTCTTCCCTGTCAGAATGCATCGTTGACGTACCTAACTCCGTTATTTATTTTGAGGCTGTTATTTTCCCTGGCAGATGTGGGCCATTGGCTGATATTGTTTCCATTTCAGACTTCAGTCAAGGTTACAACTGTTCTTAAGAACAAGGCAAAGGAAGAAAGCATCATCATTTCTCAATATTTAAAAACAAAAAACTGCTTGCAGACTTCACTGAAGTGTCTTCATGTGTTAGGATAGACTTGAAGTTTGACTGGGACAGATAGGCTTTGTGTCACAGCTATTGTATTGAGATGAGACCAATTTATAACCCATTGAAGTTTAAGTCACTAGAACTCAGTCATGCTATCTCATGCCTTAATTCTTTTCTGCAGATAACTTAAGGTTCGTTTTGGAAACAAGAATTAACTATTCTGAATAGGCAGTAAATACTTTAACTGAACTCGGAATGTTCTCTGAGCTCAGTGTAACATTTGGAGAGAAAAAATAAGAAAGAACTGTGTGTGTTGAGAGGAGTTTTAGTTGCCTTGGGTAAGGAAAATGGTTTTCTTCATCTTTATTCAGTAATAAGACTTTCAACTTTGGAATTGTGCTGGAATTATTACTTTACTTTATTCTACTGTTTCCTTATTCTTTGAGCAAGGCTGTAGCAGAGCTAACAGTGGCTGAATGTTCCCAATACTGACCTGAGAGTCTGAATGTTTTCTGTCATAGATTGTGTCAGTCTGAAGGAAATCTGTTCACTGAAGTGTATTTCTGGTTACTGGCATCTTTGCTTCTGTACTTTCAGTGGTATCTGTAATGGGGGAGGTATCAATAACTTCCATGTATAAAAAAATTATCTATTTAAGGCTTCTTAGCATAGCTTATAGCTTTATTTCAAAAAATGTACAAGCTGGAGAAATAATCATAGACAACATCAAGAAAATACTTTTAAATATCCTTTGTCAGTTGACTCATTGTGTCTGGAGCATGTGTGTAAACATCTGAGAAAATTCAAACTTGCTGTTTTGTATGACTGCAGTTCAGTGTACAGTTTCTCAAGTCATCCCCCAGTGCACTGCCTTAAATGCATCTTTAGCTGGCAGCTTTTACCTCAACTGAGGTCTTTCAGAGAAGGGCATAATTCATCTGGAGAGAGTCCGTTATCATAAAAGTGTAACATCTGCTTTAACAGAACTCTGCTTTTGCTGCCCTGCCATACTTCATCAGTGTGAAGATGATGGTCGTGGTATGAAGAAGGGATGGATTGTAAAGCTCCGTGTAGATGCTTTCATCACAAATGAGACTACAGCGTTTATTTTTTATATTATAATGCTGACATTACTTTATAAGAAAAGCTTGACTCTTACTGGTATTTGGACCTTTTACAAGTACCACTTCTGTAACTTAAGTGTTCGTGGTCATTCATTTCAAATTTACTTCCTGGTTTTTTCATTTTTGTATTTGTTCAGACTGAAACAATCTAGAAATTTTGAGGGCTCTTTGTTCTGTAGTCATTGGTCTGCTTTCAGACAGAGCGCTTAGAGGTAGCGACTGACACGGCGCTCATAAACTGCTGGAGGTAGCGACTGACACTTGTGACTTTCTTTGGGGGCTCAAGCATCAATTACATTAGTCAACAGACAAATGTTAAAGGAATAGTCATGGAATGTAATTTAGACTTCTGATCAGTCTGTTTAGATTGTGGTTCTGGGCTCTACATATAGTTAGTGAAAAGAAGTCGTGATGGTAAGGGACTGGAAGTGCCACTGATTGATTGTCTAGAGAGCATAGGCTCCAATATTAAATGCAAAAAGATTTTTATAGATGCTGATTCTCGTAACTTTTCATTAATTGTCTTCTTCCCAGTAACGTTTGTAAATCACTGGAGTCTCCTGTGTAAGCACTGCTTGTCTGTCTTCTGATCGAGAGTAGATGTTTGGGTCATTCCTGCTTTCAGTGCAGTAAGCTGATGCAGTTTGAAAACTTTGAGAGTAATTACTGTTGGGCATAGAGTTTGTTTGGCAGAGCAAATGTTTTCAGGAAAAGAAGCAGTTACCATTGGTAAAGATGGCTGAACGTCAGAAGTTCTGAATTAATAATTTAAGTTCCATGGAAGTTAAACTAGATTTAGCGCTTTTAACGCTATTTAAGGAACAAAGTAAAGTTTCCCTGAAACTGGTCACAAGAAAATGCCTTAAACAGATTTTAACTCTTGTGTACTAATTTGACTCCTCTTTTAAGTACCTTAAAAATTAAATCGTATTTCAGATAAGTAAAAAACAACAACAAAAGTTTCAATAAGTGCAGGAGTGGTTGGCCGGCTGTTCAAACAAGAGGATGAATTGATGAACTGTTCTTCAGTATTGTAGAATTGCACAACTCTTTTCCAGCCTTCAGTAGGGGGATGAACTGGTCGTTTAGTATCTACTGGAAAGAAGAGAGAGAAGGGTAAAATTCTACCATGTAGAAATGCCGATAGCCTTCTCTGTTTCCTTTCTGTATGTTACAGCATACAACTTTTCAGAAGAGGTTTTTTTTTCCTTGTTTAATGAGTGTTCTTAGAAGCTGTTAATGCAATAGTACGAAAGCCAAGATTAATGTCTATGAAAGCTGTAGTTTTAGGACATGCACCGATATAACAGCAAAATAGCTAGGAATTTGAAAGAAGGATTCTAAATATTCTTGTTTGCTTTGCTTCATTTTCCAAGATTGAATTTCCAATTTCCAGAAGAGAATCTATGGGAAAAGGACCATGAAATGTTTTTGATTTTAACTGCTAGAATTCTGGGCAAATATAACTGCTAAACTTTTTATTGATAACATAGACAAGGAAACACCAATTCCTGGGTATTGGCATCTGCCACAGGATAGATGGGGGGAATGTCAGTGCTGAAAGATGTTTTCTAGAGCACATTGTAGATGCGTGCTCAAGTTAGTTTTGAAATATTCCTTTTCACTGCATGTCTTCCTTTCATAAGTACTTTCTCACACCCTATTCTGCATCTCTCTAGAACTGTAGTTCTTCACTCATCTTGCTTTCTTGAACAGTTTGCAAGGCCCAGACTACGTTCTGATAATTGTGGTCTTAATATTTTGAAGCATGTTCTCCTGACTGCTGGTGCAGTATTACCTTCCTGCTCCATTTGGCTCTGTGTTTATCCTCAGGAAGTGTAATTGGAAGACAGTAAACACTAATCCGAGCTCAGGCTGATGTGGTACTTCATGTTCTGTTCCCTGGAGTGGCCCTAAATGAGACGGTTCAGAGATCTGATTTGGCTGAAAAGAGATTGCACTCATTATTAGTCTTCATCTAAACCAGTTCTCTGAAGTAACTAACCACGCTGCTGAGTTTATGCCAGAATTTGGAGATGCTTAAGTTGCACTGGATTTGGGTTATAAGGGTGAAACTACATCCTAGTGCTTGATGTGATTTAACAACTTGCTGGAAGGGGGGAGGCTTGTTTCCTTGCTGCCACCTCTCTGCCCTCCCGTGCTTTCCATCTGCTGCTTGTCAGACCCTAAGTTAGGTTTTCTGTCGGTTCAGTGGGATGAATTAACTTGGAATTCTTACAGGAAAGGGAACAGTTAATGTAAAGGGTTTTCTACTCCATTAGCAACATGAATTCACTTGCTTCTGTGTCTGTGAACTGTCAGGAGGAACAGAACGGTGATAACATGCCTGTATGTAAGAACATAGGAGAGATGGAAAACTGAGATTTCCCACTCCCACTGTTTTGATGTTGGTGAGCTATCAGAATCATTACAACAGTAAGGAAGGAGGTGTGATGGAGATGGGAATGACATGAATATCTGTGTTAAAATCTGTTATTTTGTTGTTGTTTTTATTTTTTTCCATTTAGCTCTTACTTTGAGCAAAAGCGGCACTCCGATCCTTTCACCTTCTTACTAATTTCACCTTCTTACTTCTAATTGGTGACCTCCTAATTCTGACAACCCCATTTTCCAGTCTCTGTACCAGATTTCTTGGATTCAGCAGAAGTGCTGTTGCATCCTTCTGAGCTCCTTAGGAGCAAAACTTGTGAAACCCTCAACTCAAAGTTCATTTTCCCTGCTGTTCTTCAAAAGATGTAGGCATCCTGTGATAAATGTGAGAAACATTGGCAGCATTCTTTCCAAAACTGCACCCAAAGGGGAAAGGGACTTCCAGATACCAAAGAAAGCTTAAGATGCAAGTAGAACTGAGTAAACAGGTGGACTTTAAGGGTTTTTTTTGTTTTCTTTTTGCTTGAAGTTGAGATTTGGATGGAGTGGGGAGAAGGAGTTGTAGACCTTTAAGAATTGATTTAAGGAAAATGTTATATTCACTTGATACCATTTTAAATTGCTGCTGTGAGGGTTATGAATATTTGGAATCAATGAAGATTTTAGGCTCAATCTTAAAACTTGCTTAGCTCAGTATTGTCAACTGTAGGAGGCTTGTTTCAAATCTCCGTATCAGAGTTAGCAGAAGCACTAACCAGTGTGTCTTTATACATACGCATAGCAGTGCTTTTTTAATATAGCATCATGATTTGAGGCTCTTTTTGGAAAACAGCCAACAAGAACTATTTTAGCTGTTTAAGGTGAGGTTAACAGCTAGTCCTCTCTGAGAAGGATAATTTTTTGTGACCCTTGGAAGTTTCTAATTGGAGGGAGGGATACCTGCCTTACAGTAGGTTTTTTTCTTTTTCCCTTTCTACTTGGAGGTTCCTCAGCGAGGTTGAAAATACCTGATGAAAAGCATTTGCTTGAATAAGGAGGGTTGTAGAGCTTCTTTGGACTCAGTATTTGTTTGTCAGGGTTTAATTTTATATGTTTACCCAGTCATCTTCCCACTCCCTTTAGACTTCTGTAGTGAGAGGATTCTGCATTTTACTCAAAAGAACGGGAACAGATAAGACTCCTGTAGTTCTTTCCAGCAGGTCATCTTACCAACTTCTATTTGGTGAAATGCGACCAAGTCACATTCATTCAGGATTAGTTCAGACCCATGATAGTCCTTCCATGCACTTTGTATTGGAACTTTGGACTCATTGAGCAAAATTATTCTACACAGTTTAAAATTTAAATACGTAAAGTGTCTGTGGATCTTTGGCTGCAGTAATGTCTGTAAGTATGTAAACCCTGGCTCAAACCATAGAAGTAAAAATAGAGTTGACCATTTCTTCTCTCATACCAGCTCCAGCAAAAAAAAACAACCCACATCACATGGCCACCTTCAGGTATGACTTACCTTGGTGCTGGAAAGCTTGCATCTGCGTCTAGTTGAACAGTGGCATAGTTTTTGGTAATCTTATCTATGTAAGCTTTTTTGTAGGTCAGAGCAGCAGTATAAAATTATATTAGATATTGGGTAGTGTATTTTTAATCAAATTTTTTGCCTTCTTGCTTTTGCTGATGTTTCTAAGGAATAGCATCCCCCATGATTTAACAACTGATTATTTCTTATTAGATAATGTAGATTTTTGTTGAGAAAAATAACGTAGATGATGGAAGGAGTTCAGAATTATGAATTAAACACCTGTTCATAAGCATCAACAAAATCTGTTGTGAAGATGTGAATTTGCAAGTCTAAAGCCATTTGTACTTCACTGTAGACACAACTTTTAAGATGGCGTAATCTATTCAAGACATTTCTTGCAGCCTGACAAACTCAGTGTCTTCCTTATTGTCCCTAGCCACAGTAGGTAGGTAATACGCCAGATACAGACTGGTCATCCCTAACGCTTTATCTATGCATGGAATAATTTTTCAAAGTTTATAGTTAGTTCCTCTTGGCAATAGGAAATTAGTTGACAGTTCAAGGGAAAGACAGTTGAGTTCTTTACCTCACATTCAGGTTATTTGCACATGTCCTGTGGATTTTTGTGTCTCCTAAGCTCTTTAGGAGGATGACAGCAAGGATGGAGGAAAACAATCAGGTTTTATTTGTATGAAAGTGGATGAGAGCAGCAGCAAACACAGTCAGTCATGTTGTGTCACGGAAACTCTGCAGATGTAGTCATTTAGTAGAAAATTTGGAGGGAGCACTTCTGGACTACGGTTTTAATACTCTTTTGATTAAAAACTACGTATACAGTACTTTTGTTTTCTTCAACTACTACTTTTCCCACCATTAATGAGAGACGAGTACATACAAACTTTGTTCTTGTCACTTCCTGAACTTCAAGGTTGTATTCAGTTACTGAGTGGAGTATACGCGGGGCTGAAATAAGTTTTAACTTCAGCAGCTTGTAGTCATTTGATTCTCTAACATGGTTTGAGAATGATGGGGTAGTAGTGTACGCCTCATAGGTAAGGTGATAGAATTTAACTAAATTAGCTTAGTATTTTCTTTCAGTTGACAGAAGCTAAATCAACAAAGCCCAGAACTGACAGAACCTTTTTTATCCATCTCAGTGAAAAAGAAAAAAATATCGTTACCCTTTGGAGTGTTTTTTCTATTACGTTGTATTGAGTTATGCATATTTAAATCGTCTTTTCTCTGAGTAAAAATCATAGCTAATAGCCATCATCTTTCTTCCTCTAGGCACACAAACAAATGGCCTGGACTTTCAAAAGCAGCCTGTGCCTGTTGGAGGACCAATCTCTACAGCCCAGGCCCAGGCCTTTCTTGGGCACCTTCATCAGGTAAGAGAAGACCCATTTCAGAGCAAGGGTGACTCAAACAGGTACAAACACAGCTTCTCTTGTGTGTTCTCTTTCTGTGAATGAGTAGTCATGTAAGAGAACATATTGATAAACCATATGCTCAAGGTGCTTAGGTGGGAAAGTTCTTACTGTGTCGATACACACTCCGTGATCTCCAGAGGTCCCTTCTAACACCTGCGATTCTATGATTCTTATTGTGGCACACATTTAATTGCACTGTGCTGTAGACTATGTCAGATAGAGTGAGACCTATTGGGAGGAGCTTTAAATGCCTCTTTCCTGGTACTTGTGATTGTCTAAAGTAATTAAAAATAAAGTTATTGGACATAAATGAAATGCAGTGTCAAATTTAATCTTTCTGATAAAGAACAGTGTTAGCCTAGCAGTTGCCAAGATCTTAAACCTGCCAGTATGTCGTGATGAAAAAAGAAATGATGTTGAAGGATACTCAGCACTGGGCTCTGATCTCTTGAGCTCTTACATATTGACTAGAAATATAAAATCATGGTACTTATTAAGCACATATGCTTCTGTCAGATGTGGTGGTTTTTTGTTTTTTTGTTTGTATTTTTTTCTTACAAAAAGTTGTTTCAGGTACCTGTGTGTGGGATGATATTCAGCTTTCTGCTATGATCCCTCTGTTCTGCTGCTTCTGTATTTAGGGAATCAAAGCTGATCTTCAGATGTAGTCTAAAGTAAAATGGAACATCCCTAGGAGAAGAGAAGCTTGTGCAGTATTTTTGGTAGCTTTTTTTATCTGCTAGCAGTTGAAGTGTGAAAACAAATGTCCTAATTTCTTTCACTTCCTCGGCACCGTGTTTAAACTTTAAAATTCTGTAGCTAATTGGCTGACCTTGAGTGCTTGAGGTCTGCTGTAGCACAGTTGTTGTGGTATAATTGACCTACTGAAACTTTTATACCCTATTAAAAGAGATCAGAATTGCCATTTTATTGTATGGAACATTCAACACTTGTCACGTAAATTACAATTTTCCTAGTAGACTAGCTATATGGGACCTAGGGAGGAATGCCAACATCTGGATTTGCTGAACCTGTAGGCTTCTGTAGGCTGCCTTTTTGTGTAGAGAAGCTGACTAATTTTCATCGGTTATCAGTATGTGGAGACAGATACAGCTGTCCTGAAGAATCTTGTGGGAGCTTTTTAATTTTAAATTGTTTTTTTTTTTTGTTGCTGTTGTTTGTGGGATTTAGTCTTTGCTTTGTTATATTGGTTGATCCAGGATTGCAGTTTTATTTAGCAGAGTGCCTTATCTTGCTTGGAAAATGTATTTATTTAAACAGTTCTCGGGATTGTTGTGACTTCACATTTGATAAAACAATTGATTTCTGGAAACTCTAGTTCAAAGACAGATCTCAACTATTCTTCTATGCACTTATTGGCTATGTGGGCCTCTACTTTTAAATTTCAAGCATGGCTGTTCTTTGTGGGATGTTATTCAGTCTTAGAGTGCTTTCCTCTAGATGAATGCAAAACATTGAATGCTATCAGGAGCAGTTGAATTCCTACTTAGAAAATGACTGGTAGAAGGGGAGTCCAGATTGCATTCAAAGGCATGTTCAGTTATGTTCTGGCTGTGCCTGAGTGAGATGCATTCAGTCTTCATTATATAGTTGATAAAATGATTTGAGTCTATTCTTTTTGATGGTAGGATATTATTGTGTAGTTTTTCTCTGCTTTTACTTAAGAGCTCATCAACTGTCAAACTATGCTTTCCTTATGGTAAGGATGAGTTTTCTTTAGAACGTTTGCTTACATAGAGAAAATGCTTAGTAAGTCTACTAGGACTTCATCCTGGGTGGCAGAAAATACTTCTAAAGTGACTCGTAAGGCTTGCCTGTTCAAATACTCAGTTAATAGTTTAACATACTTCAGTTTAAATTAAAACTCTTCTTCCTATGTTTACAGGTATCTTTACGCTTTTATACAGTATTTTACGTTGGCACATCTTTTTATAGAGGCCAGTACTGCATTTTGATTTGGTTTTGGTTTTTTATTCATCTGTTGCCTCGTTTTCAAATGAGCTGTGACTTTCGAACATAGTCAAAGATGGACTTTGTTACAGGCTGTTACTCTGACCTTTGAAAGTGTTGGTGATTAAGTGCATAGTGTTCCTTCTGTATAATAGGAGCAGTGGTAGAAACAAGGAGAGATTGATTAAAAGAGCCTTTATTAAACAAAAACTTAGCATTTGTTATATAGAAAAAAAGCATTATTGTAGATAAATGACACTATTTAGTGAGGTTTCTGAAACATCAGTTACTTTTCACTGGTAACACACGAGCTTATTTGGACTAGGCTGTTTATCGCTGGATCCGCACTGGATCCAAATTTTGAGCATACCTGAATCAGTACCACCATTGTAAAGTATTTCCAGTCCTCTATATTAATGTTTTTTTTTCAGTGGCTGAGGACTGCAAGCAGTTGAATGTTTAGATCTATGGAAGTGTTCTATGCTGTGGGTTTTGTGCTATGTAGGTGATCTTTTTCTGTTTTTACGGGGATGCAAGTGAGTGCAATGTGCATATTTGTGTAAGACCCATTCTGAAATATTAGCATGATGATGAGTAGGACGTAGCTCCCTCCCCTGAGGTGTGGATATTTGTACAGTAATAGGAGCAGTTAGACTGTCAACCCCAAAGTGCTCTCTTTTACCCAGTTTCGCTTTAACATTTGGATCCTGTGGCAGGAATACTTTTCCCAAGAGGTGGACAAATAAGACTGAAAGAGTTTTAGTGAGTGAAGCATTAGAATGAGAGATGTTGTTCTTGGGGTAATATTTTGTTGCAATGGGGTAGTTCCCTCTTACACTTAGTTTCCTGTAGATTCAACATCACTTCTGTTTTTGCACTGTGTTGTAGGTCCAGCTCGCTGGAACAAGTTTACAGGCTGCTGCTCAGTCCTTAAATGTACAGGTAAAAACTGTTTCCATCTGCTGCTTGCCCTCCTCTTATTCTGCTTTCCAGACAGCGTTTTGGTCCTGTTAGAGATGGTCTTGAACCTATGAGGTGTTGCTTTGTTTCCTCATTTTGATTGGTCTTGCAGGTGATAGGTATAGATGGATATAGTTCCACAAGTGTAAATGAGGATCAGCATTTGTAAGCATTCAGAAACTGAGATGGTTAAAACATCCAGCGATCATCGTTTTATTCTGACTTTCAGGTGTTGTAATTTATCATGAAGACCATTCAAATCCTAGGAATGTTTCGTGTTCTTCCACCTAACTTATTTTCAACATAGCAAATATTACTTTGCCTTTATTTCTAGTGTCTGGATATAGAGGTATAATATAAGATTGGCTATGTAATGTGGCTAGTATAGATTGCTTGTATAAATAACACATAGTAAATCTACTATAAGTCAGAGTAATTGTTCAATAATGTATGTGAAACAGCAAAGCTTACAAACTTACAATGCTAAACGCTTCAGTGTATCAGTTAATGTGCCACTTCCTCTCAGTACTATATTAAAGGGCAAGGGACATAGCATTATTGAAAACTGGTTTCAGCATTGCTTGTTATTAAAGAACGTAGGTAGTGCATTACATGAAATGCAATAGAATGTGGACCCACTTATACGTAATAACAATGTGGAAAGAAGAGGAGGTATAGTGACCTTCCTTTCTAAGAGGAAGGAGGCAGAAAATTGCCTCGGTTGCCATGGTAAACTTCCATCCCTGAGAGAGATGTTGGCAAACAGGCTGTATCTCCAGTGCAGAATGTTTACAGTCCTGCGCTGTAATTATCGCTCAATGACTGGCAGAATTAATCAGAGCCTTTATGTTAATTAGCCTGCTCTGCAGTCCCCAAAACAGGTGGTGGAAAATATGCAAATCTATGCAGAATTTTAATGTTCTGCATAACCAGCTTTAATTATCATAAAACTCTCTTCCCCCTCTTCATGCACTTGCATTTCCTCCCTCGTGTCTTTGCAATTTCTTCTGTTTAAAAAACAACAAACCATTTAAAATAAAGCAGCGTTTAATTAAATAAACACTAAACTTTGATTATTTAGAAGCATTGTATGCACTGTGCATTTTTTTTTAATCAGTGGATAAACCTATGAGGATTTTTCAAACTAGTTCTCTATCAGCCAACAATATGATGACTTTGAGGTCCAGTATGCAGGTACAGAAAATACAAACAATCTCCTTTCTCTCTTTCTATTGTTGAGGATTTTAGGCAATGAATAATTTTAACAACCTTTTCTTTATGGTGCAAAGTAGCGTCAGCTTCAGTTGCATTGCATAAAGTGAAATGAGATCTGAAAATAATGTCAGAGTCACGAATGACTCGCGAGTCTCTTTCTGTTTAAACCGCATTACCTACAGACTTGTTTGAGCAATCGTAGCTGAGATGGTGGGCACATAAAGCCATTGCTTAAACCCACTCTTAAAATAAACCCAAGGGCTTTTTGTATGCAGATGAAAGATTTTTATTGTGCAGTGTTCACATAGCAGTGTTAGACATTAACATCTGTTTTACACTATAAAGAGTTGTATTTTTTTCTGTCCTAGTCTAAATCTAATGAAGAATCTGGGGACTCTCAGCAGCCAAGCCAGCCTTCCCAGCAGCCTTCAGTGCAGGCGGCCATACCCCAGACCCAGCTCATGCTGGCCGGAGGACAGATCACTGGGGTAAGATTTACCTAAGCATACTGTAGCAAGCCTCCTGTCTGGCAGGTGATGGCAGTACTGCTGTCCCTGTAGAATTATCAGAGAAGGTTACTGTCATTTCCTTTCACATAGGAGGAAGTTTGTGTAAAGGAAGGACCAAGAGGGAGAATATTTTCTTACGGAGAGGCACCCTTTGGTCTGGTTTTGTTACAGAGTATTTGCATTAAAAAACCCATCTACAGTGGAACTTAAAGCTGGTGTGCCCAAATGAATTGCTGAGGATGTTACTGCAAGAGTGAAATGAGACATGCAAGCATGAGATTAAATTGTATTGGATACTTGAGTTATGAGGAACAAGAACGATGGAACTGCTGACATCAATTTTCTCTTCTCATACAGATTTCTTTTTAAGTAACTGTGGTGATCTGTGCCTTGAGCTTATTCAACTCCTCTGTTCTAGCCTACCAATTCTGAGTTGTTAATTGCAAGGTTTTCTGTGGAATTGTGGAAAAGCTGTTGCTTAAGGATTACTGATGTTTCTAAATTGTTCTAAACGCCTTTAGTCAAAACAGAAAAGAAAGTTCTGTGAATGGGCTGGTTAGGTTAGACATCTTGCTTCTGTGTTATCAACTTTCCATCTTTAACAGTGTAGATGTTAATAAGGAATGTAAGACAGTTGTTCTAGTGAAGTATTTAGGATTTGAATTGTTAGGTTAGGTCATCTCTGCAGATGGATGAAATTGTCTTAATTTCATGTTCAATTGTTAAATCTTGTAAGCTAGTTTGCAGCCAATGTCCTATTTAGTTCTGGTTAATTTAATTGAAGGTTTTAAAAGTAAGACTGTTTTAATAATAAGCTGGGTTTTAATAACTTATTTTTGTCGTTTTAAAAACATATCAGTTTCTTTTATTTTGAGTATTTGCAGTAGTGAAACATAGGACTCCAGGTCTATGCAGATATGGATTGTAGTAAATGTGAGCGTCAAGATTCATTTACATGTAAAGGAGAGACTGCTGCCACCTGTTTCACAGAGATAATGTGTGTTTGGAAAAGGAAAGGGATGTAAACTTGCCAATTCTATTCAATTAAAAAAAAAAAAAAAAAGCAGATGGGGAGACTTGGAGAAAAACAAATGGAGCTCATGTTCTTTACTTATATCTTAGGGCATAATGGAAATGATGGAATATGGCAGGGATTCATGCTAATGTGAAGCAGCTGGGGTGTTATCAGTTTGTTCAGTAGCCACAGCCAACATTCCTGCTTCTCATTCATCTGGCTAATCACTTGCTGTTCTTCTGGGTGTAAATTTTCTTTCAAGGCTTGGCAATACAATTCTTTTATTTTGCTTGCTACTTAATTACCTTTTTCCTGAATCTCCTGGTAGAGTTGAGGAGAAAACTTAGTAAAATTAGATTCTGTGGATTCCAGTAAGTGCAAATGTTTCCATTCATGTAGTTCGGTTTATATCAGTTCTGTGGTAGGTTGATTCATGCAATGTGTTGAGTAGCCAGCTGACCTTATTTAAGGCCAAAGTCATTGACTAGTTCATGGCTAAGCTGTATTAATAGTTCTAGGAACGTCTGGTTAATATAACTAGTAATGGGCTAGCTAATGACTTTGTAGCTAAAGTGGCTCTTTCCATTATTAATGGCTGTTTTCTAATTATTTATAGCTCACGTTGACGCCAGCCCAGCAACAGTTATTGCTACAACAGGCGCAGGCACAGTTGCTGGCAGCTGCAGTGCAGCATTCAGCCAGTCAGCAGCACAGCGCTGCTGGTGCCACCATCTCGGCCTCTGCTGCAACGCCGATGACGCAGATCCCTCTATCTCAGCCAATACAGATTGCACAGGTGAGGCTTGAGAGGGTGGAAAATGAGGTTTAACAACTTGCATCGTTGAAGTAATATTTTTATTCCTTATTCAGTTGAGTGTCCAGAGTCTTTGAGGTACTGTTAGTATTTCCTTGTTCATCCTTAGCTCTGAGATTGATAGGTGTAGCTAAGAATGTAAGCCAGCTGCTTATCAGTTCCATTGAGCTCCTGAGTTAGTTTGAGAATCTGTCCAGATGGGATATTTTCTTTATTTCCTTCCTTGTAGTTAGCTTGAAAGGGAGAAAAATGAGTGTAGAAAGATGCCCATAGAAAATACCATTGTTGAGACCTATGTATAGGGTAGAATGCTTACAGTATCACAAAAGATATTGCTTGGATCCAAACAACAGTAATTAGAGAGCTGAATAAAGGCAACCGGACAGGTTTGTTTGCTATTTTGACTTGGTGCTTAATACTGAGAGTAGAGTGACAAAGAATTAGCACTCCTGTTTTTCCAGAGAAAATCTTGCCAGAAGGAGTCTACTGTTGGAATCTGTCCAATTTTATGGACTGCTGCTAACGACCTGTTAATTCTTGGCTCTGAAGAACTGCTTGCCAAGGAAATTTTGTTTACTTTAATCTTTCAGTATTGTCTTAGTTTTGAGAATGCAACGCCAGTGACTCAAAACTTAGCATGTGTGGTGTTGAAACTCTGTAGACTTTTGGACAAAGGTAACCAAGTGTAGATCACAAACATCATGAGTACTGCCTGTAGGTGATTGTATTGCCAACATTGGAGTCCATCTCTTCGTAGGCTAAGGTTCTTGGTATGTAATACTGTAGTTTGATTGGTCTAGCTGTGCGAAGTATGTTGGGTATGTAATCTCCACAGTTACTTACAGTGAGCAGCCTTTTAAGACTGGCTGACCTCAGAATATTTTGTCTTGTATTCAACTGGGGTGAAGTGTCTAAGAAGTGAAGATGAGAGCTGATTAAGTAAAACAATGGAAACGTCACAATTATTTGTGAGGTCCACTGTTGAAATGTGCTGTTCCTTTATTGCAGTAGTCCACCAGAGGAGTAAGAGCCTGGTTCTATCATCAGTTTTGCATTGGCTGAAATGGACAGGCTCTTTGACGCTGTTCTGAAAGTTCTGACCTCTGTGGCTGTCCTTTTAGAGGCCACTGTGATGCCAAACCAAAAGCCCACTAAGCCTCTTTGTGCACTGTGACACTTGAGTCACGTGAACAAATGACTGCATTTAGCAAAGGATCCCAATTCAATGTCATGATTTGGAGGTGAATCAAAAATGTAACTTTCAAGGGAACTTAATACCCGAGACCATCTCTGTTTTATTAAGCCTTTGTTTGTAGGCAATGAAGGAGTGGAAGAGGAAGTTGATGTTTAGCATCCAGCTGCAATCTGTGCATCTGTCAGAGTTCCTATCTGATATTCTACAAATCTTTTAACGTAAACTTAAATGATCCATAGTTGTGCCTCTTGTTCTTCACATGTGCAACCTAAGGTAGTGAGGTCTGCTTTATTGAACCAGTGTTAAAATTTCACATCAAATCTGTACCTTGACATTTCTGGCTTTACACTTGTTGCAAATATGCCAGCAATGTGGTTGATACTTCTAGAGGCAGTTTTGTGTGTGTGTGAGGTGTTGCTATCCTATTCTTCCATTGTGTTGAGATGCTGTGAAAATATGTGAAGCATTTACAATTACTAGTTCAGCATTGTGGGTTTTCTTCTCCAGAATTTCAAAGTCTTCAGAGAAGGATTTGAGTAGAGTTGAAACAATCAAGCACGTGCCATCAAATAGACAACTCACTTCAGAAGATCTGATTTTGTGTGCTTGAATGAGCTAAAGGTTCTCTGGAAACAAATAGCAAGTGATCATGCAGTCGTCACCATATAAAGTGTATTTGTAGTGCAAGTGGAACAAATTAAAAGTTTCACTTACATACTGAGAGATTCCTAATTTCTTAAACATTAGGTTTAACAGTTCATTTCAGGATAGATTGTACCAGTTTATGCATAGCTTGGTTGATTATTTTGCTTCCTCTTATCATAAAAGCGCAGAGTGTAATTTGTGCAGCTGTTGGACATAATTTGTGATGTTTTATGGAAAACTTACACAGTCTAGCTTTGTAGTTGGATACCACTTTGCTTTTTGACCCATCTCAACACCTTTCTGTGAACGGTGCTCAGCTTTGTGTTGCTATTGTAAACACACAGCTGATTACACAAATAGCTGAGTGTTTATTTTATTTTATGGTTTTTGAATAATTGATTAACTGGCAGGTCTCTGCAGCAGGGGGATTACCATATTTATTTTAATTAGCTAATTGCACAAGCATGACTTCTTTAATGTGCGCTGCGGTTAATGTTAGGTATCTGCTGCAGAAATCTGGTAAGGTGTCAGTACTGCTGCTGTGAGCTGATGCTAAATCGTCACTAAGCAATTGTACCAAGTTTTGAGTTCTTTGGAAACTTCTTTGCTTGTTTTCAGAGTGCATCATCAGAGTTTATATGATGTAAACTTCAAAATGGCAGAGATACTTAAGTTTGTGGTGAAGTTCTTACTTAAGATAATGGTGTTGAATTTAGAACTTTGGATTTAAAAAAAAAAAGTCCTCATGTCAAAATATTCCACTCCTCTTGGCAGAGATAGGAATTGGATTGCTTTGATCTTTCTAACTTCATGGGAAACACCAGAAAATTTTGTTTCCTCAAAAGTCTGTCCCTCTCCTTCTACATACTTGCGAAATTACACAGATTACGATTTGGAAAACAAGGAATGGCCTAGGAAAACTGTGTCAGAAGTTGTTCACATGGTTGATGTCAGGAGACTTTTTTGTAGTGCTACAAGAAAATAATAAATTTTCCAGAAGTAGAAATAAAGTTGGATTTCAAATGAATTTGAAAGATTGGTAGGGCTATTTGAGTGAATTGCCTTGAAGGTGGTGTTTCTATTCTAAGTTACATAATTTTATTTCTATATTTAAACAAGACTCAGTCAAGATACCATTTACCTAAGCAGATTTAGAGAAAAAGATTACTTATACCAGTTCTCTTGACACTTCAGTTTTAAAAGTTTTCTCATATTGAAGTGAGATTAGAGTCTGACAATAAGAGCTACTATGTTTTGACTGGATACCCTTAAACAAAAAGTTCTTCTATTTGATCTCACAAATATTCTGTGGTGTGGTTGCCCAACCTTTTGGCTTGCCTGGTCCACACTGTGTGAAGAGTAATTGTCTTGGCCTGTATATATGTACATTGCTCCGAAAGTAATGCCTCCTACTTACTTCCATGGAAATGACAACAGATACAAAGAGCACAATGATACTGTTTGACCAAGTTATTAGCGACAACACTCTGTTTTTTCATAGTCACCACCCTTATCTCTGCATTTTTTTGCCAGTTGAACAGGAGGCTGCAAGCTACACTTGTAAAAATCTGTACTGGTGGAGGTGACTCACTGTCACTGTTGTCACTGCTGGAATGCACCTCTCACCACCTCACTGTGCTGCCATCCACTGTTTGGTCTTCACAGCCATTCTTCGGGCGTTGATGAATTTGATTGGGTGCCATTTTTCCTACATGGAAGAATTCAGTTCCATACCTTTGCTGCTTATGTGCTTCCATGTCAGACACCGTTTTGCCAGACTACCCCTTCGTCAGCCAGCTGTCATACAGCAAAAACACAGGAAGGTTCAACTCTACTGCCGTACCACACCAGCATCTGCCTCTGACATTGTGGGCCAACATAATAGTAAAATAGGAGGCATTACTTTTGGATAGCCATCATAAAATATAATGCAGTCAATGTCTATAAATTACAAAACTTGTTTTGATTTTTAATGGTTGTTATTAAAACATACAAAAAAAGAGGAACAAAGCCAAAAAAAAAAAAAAAAAAAGCCACAAAACCTATCAGTGGAATATGTGACCTACTCTCGAATTCCTTTATCAACATGGAAAGCATGGCTGCGTAATTCTTCTCTGTTCACAGGACTGTGTTTAGCTAGTGTATCAAAATGCGTAAGATGATTTGCCATCACTTGAGCTGGCACCATGCTGTGCCCCGTGCCCTGGCTTCAGCCCAGCTGGGGTTAGCAGCACACTCATGTTCTGTTGGTGCTGAGGCCCAGCTGGGCTGCTCAGTGGGAAGAGCCACTGCCATGAGGGCCTGGTGTAGCATGGGGTGGCTCACGCTGTGGGCTGTGCTGGGCTGCATGTGGGCTGTAGGCTGGACATGCCTGCACTACCATATACCCCATCCTGGTTTTTAGTACTCTTGGTGTGTTAGGATTTTTTCCATACGTACTTCTTTCTCTTGTGGTTTTTCAAATCATTTGAGATATACTGTGTTGTTTGGGAATTTCTAATTAGCTTGCTTTAGGGGAGGAGGCCCACTATCTCTGTCCATACTTTTTTCCTCAAAACTTTCTTCTTAGCTCTGCTTTTTGGATTTATATTTTTTTTGTTGTTCTTTTCATCTTTTAGCCTCTCTTAGACATAAGGAAGAACTTATTCTCTCAGAGAGCGGTCAGGCACTGGGATGGCCTGCCCAGAGAGGCGGTGGAGTCGCCGTCCCTGGCAGTGTTCAAGAGGCGTCTGGAAATGATGTGCTGTGTGATATGGTTCACTACTAGTGGTGGCAGTGGTGGTGAGGAGACTGTTGGACTAGATGATCTTGTGGTCGTTTCCAACCTTGTGATTTTATGATTCTTCATTTCTGTTTTTTTTCCCCCAAGGTTCTCAGCCATAGTCACCTTGCACCTTGTTCTGTTTCTTCTTCTACATTTAGTCCTCGCATCCAGGTCTGTGTGAGACCCACTGTTCTGGAGGGTTTGCTCAGTCTGGAAAGGTGACCAGTGGAGAGTAATGAGTATCAATAAATGAGGTTTGTGTCGCATTGGGCTCAATGTAGGAGATTTTAATAACATTTCTAGCCAGTATAGCTTTTAACATGAAGCCAGAAGAAACTTGGAACATTCCTGGAAAAAAAAGGAAGAAGCCTATCTTTTAAGGAAGGAAATTAGCCTCAGTTCTGTAGGAATGGTTGCAGTACCCAAATTTTCCAAAAGCAAACAGTACTATCAACTTAAAAACACCCTGTGCCATGAGGCCTTTTTTGTTATTTTGCCATTTTCTTCTAAAACAGAACTTTCCATTGTTTGGTCAGTGCCATCTGGTGTCTGTCTGCCATATTATTATTCAGCGTACTTTTGACTTAACTTGATGAAGTGGCTGATGGCCAGTGCCTTTATAAATGCAGGTTAAGTAGTCATTTTCTTGTAATGCGTGTCTTGAGGTCTCATGAGTCAGTGGATTCTTTAACTCCTTAAGCTGCCTTTCTGACATTCCCATCTCACCTCCTCAGAAGATTGTTGGAGCTTTTAAGTCTTAGTTTAACATCTTAAAAATAACATAAGGACCCAGACAGATATATATTGCAAATGGTTGTTTTGTTTGTTATAAAAAGTCATCCTTGACACTGTCTTGACTTTTCAACCCTGTCTCTGCTGCTTAGCAGTTAATGACCTTTCATATCTGCTGGCAGAGCAGCTTGTGCGAGTGCTTAGTAACCTGCATCAGTCAAAAATGCATGGTAGTTTACAAACCTTAAGAAGCAGGTCTTTGTTAGTCTCACTTGCTTTCATTTCGCTTTAGAGGTACGTTAACATGAGCAGCTCTGTTCATGCAGTCATACTTGAGTGCTGGTTTAGGAGTGGCCTGATGTTGTTAGCCTTTGGACACTGGTAGACCTGGCTAAGGCTTTCTGTCAACAAGCAGATACTTGAGTATCTAAGCAGCTTACCTGAAAGAAAGTTTTGGACAGCTTTTTGATTTTGTTTTAATTGGAACTTGTAAATGTGGGAGATATTTCTGACTTCATATACCTGCTTGGCAAGCAGCACACTCCTTGAAATAGCTTCTTCTGGGAAAGATTCTGTGTGTGTATGGATAATTTATGCAGATCGCTGCTGTTCTGTTGGCTAACTTTATACTGTGCTTCAGCTTTCAAATTTCAGTTACTCTTGTTATCTCCTTCTCTGAAGAAGTTTTAAAAGGCTATTTTGCTGTGATTTTTATTTTATAACTTTGCTTTTTTATTCTCCAGCTAAACAAGTGTAGCTGGAGAATTTTTCTTCATCAATCAGTTTTTCTTGATGATTCAGTTTCTCAGAGATCAACATTTATGTCAAAACCAGTTATAAAAAAATATATATAAACAGGTCTGAATGGCTTAAATACATAAAAGTAGAGTTCTACGATAGTGCAGTGTTTGGTTAGCTGTGTCTACTACACTTATTGTAATTTGATTGAAAATTAATCAGATGTATTTGTTTACTATTTGGGTTAGCTGCTTCTCAAAATTTGACTTGAACAACTAGAGTGCAAACAAGGAATCTATATAATTTTTTGCTTTCCTATTACTATTAAAATGGTACTTGCAGACCGTTGTTATAAACAAAAAGTACATAGGCTGCTCTGAAAGCAATGCCTCCTATTTATTTCTATGGAGAATGTAACAGATACAAAGAGCAGAGTAAAGCTATTTGATAGGGCAAATTCTCAGCAACAAAACGTTATTTTCAACAGTCACCACCATTTGCTGTGCGTTTTTGTCAGTGATAAACAAGAACCTGTATGCCATGCTCATAAAAATCTGCACCAGTGGAAGTAATCCACTGCCTCTGTCACGGCTACTGAAGCACCACCTCACTGGCTCACTGTGCTCACATCCACTGTTTGGTCTCCATAAACATTCAACAAGCATCAGTGGATGTCAGTGGGTGCCATTTTTCCACATAGAGAAATTCAGCGGCACCCCTTTGCTTCATATGTGTTCTCATATCAGACTGCCCATCTGCTGCTATCTGTCACATGGCAACATGTAATGGGATATTGATGGGAGGGTTCAATCTCTACTGCCATACCACCAACATCCGCCTCTGGCATTGTGGACCAACGTAATAAAATAGGAGACGTTACCTTCAGAGCAGCCCTTGTAGCTCCTAGCGAAAATGTGCTGGATTTGTTAACAAATACAACAAATGTTGTAGCAGAAGTTGCATCATTAAACATAAATCCGAAAAATGAAAGTGCTGACAAGTATTTGGAAACTCAGACACTTTGGTTGAGGGGGCGGGGAACTGATATTTTTTAAATTGAAGCAGAACAATGTTAGAATTCTTTTGCTGTGTTGTTTGGCAAGCAGTTTTTGTTCGTTTTGTGGTTTTTTTTGTAGGGCAGTGAAATTCACAGTACCAGTCTAAAAGATGTTTTAGTAGCAGGACTGCTATATTTAACATATAGTTTAATTAGGAATCATGGCTGACATAAATGTGTAACAACAGCTCTTTTTCCTTTTCCTTTTTTTTTCCTCTTTTTTTTTTTCTTTTTTTTTTTTTTCCCCTTCCCCTGTTTCCTTAAGGATTTGCAGCACTTGCAGCAGCTTCAGCAGCAGAATCTCAACCTGCAACAGTTTGTGTTGGTGCATCCAACAACCAACTTGCAGCCAGCACAGTTCATCATCTCACAAACACCGCAGGGGCAGCAGGGTAAGTGCTCCTTGCCAGAAAAGAAAATCCTACATAGCTTTTTTGAGGAAAAAGTGGAACCAGGAAGGTTTATACACCTTCATTATCTCTTGATATTCCCTGGGAAAAGTAACAGTATTGCAATTAGGATTCCTATCTAACAGGTTGGCCCTTTTTGGGTATTAGATCTCAGCCTCATCAAAGTTTGTGTAGCTGACTTCTCAAGGAGAAACAATCCAGAGATCATGTTATGGGGACATTTAGTAACAAAGGCTCTTGGGAAATACTGCATCATGAATTTCTGGATGGGTTCTCAAGAAGGAAGGAGTGATATCAAATTTTTACACTGGTAGATAGTGATAAGACAAGGGGAAACAGTTTTAAACTAAAAGATGGGAGATTTAGATCAGATGACAGGAAAAATTTTCTCTGAGAGAGTGGTGAGGCATTGGCACAGGATGCCCAGAGAAGCAGTGGATGCCCTGTCCTTGGAGATGTTCAAGGCCAGTTTGGATGGGGCCCTAGGCAACCTGACCTAGTGCCTGATTTAGTGGATGGCTGCCCTGCATGGAGCAAGGTAGGTGGAGCTAGATGATCCTTGAGATCCCTTCTGACCCAAGATGCAAGCCTATGGAATTCTATGATTCCATGGATTCTCTGATTCTAAGGATGCCTACTGGGAAGACAACACTCCAGAATTCATAGGCAGAATCCTAAGAGGTGAAAGCCTGGAGATGTGTTATAGATTGCATTTTAAAGCCAAATCAAGATAATGGTAGAAAGTAGTGCCATATTAAGATATTGCATAAGATCTTCACTCTAAGAACTAATGTTGCAGTACATTACAGTACTGATTGCACTCTTTGTTGATGCCCTCAGGCAGCTGTGTTTGGTCACGGATAATAGACTCCAGTGCTGATAGAATCAAATGGTCTTTTCTTCCCTTATTTTCTACATGAACCTTCAGTAGTTCAGGCCCTGGAATCCAAAGGTTCAGAATGCATATCCTTCCTGGCTGAAGAGTCCTATAAAACAGCTCTTTGCACCTTATTTTCTTCTGTACCTTTTAGGTTGTTGGGTTTTTGTGTGTGTGTGTGTGTGCGTGTGTGCATGCATCATTTCTTCTTACGTAGTGTGACTGGAGAACTGGCTTTTCATTATGCTGAAACTGAATGCGCTAACATTTGAATAAAAGACTAGCCAAAATTAACCTTTTTTTTTAACAATACTAGATTTAGGAGACTTTATGTCAGCAGTGGTAGAAAACAGCTATGTGAGGCATTCAGTGATACGCTACTTTCTTGAAATGAGGCAGAATTTAAAAGCTTTACATACAGTTTTTAGGAGACATCAAACTTCACCAAAGTTTTGTTCAAGAATCTTCATGATATGTTTAAACTTTAAAATACTCCTTTAAGGAAATAACAAGCAAAAAAACCAATTGTTTTGAAAAATTTAGCAATCATTATTCATATCTGCCTACAGTTTTCAGAGTATTTCTCCTGGGTTTTCTAAAATACTTCTGAAGATGCTTCTCAAAGCAAGGTGGAAGTATCAGAAGCATATTTCATTCATCTCTCAACATGAGTTTTGTATTACAGAATAGAAGGGAAGGTTTTTGTTTTAAATCTTCTGAAGTAAAATAGCTACCAGAAGATGTTTGCAGTTTATTTTGCAGGGAACTGCCCTGAAAGTGATTTCTTTACTGCAGTTGAGGCCTGCGTATTGCTGTCATCACTGACGCAGTGTGTGTAGAAACACCATGTTTTACTGATAATGTGCAGTCTGGACAACTGAATAGTTCAAAAATATAGCAAGATTTATATTCTGTATTCTGACCATCAGCCTCTAGTGTGTGACAGCTTTCCAAACTGAAATGCTTGAATGGATCTAATTTTCTTCATGAGCACTCAATGATAAAGCAAGATGTATGTCATAATAGTCCTTATCTCACTTTCTAGGTATGACATTCTGCAGTATTTCATAGTTATTGTTAGACAGTCTTGAACAGTATGTTATCATTTATAAGAAAGACTGAGAAAATATGTATTTTTATTTTATCATTTCTGTTGAGCAGACTTCACTATTTTGTTCTTGTCCTATTGCTCCATTAGTCGACTTCATAAAACAAGCAAAAAAAAATCACAGAAACTAACACAGATGTTTCTTTAAGACATTAAACTTTTTTTTGGATGCCTTATAGGTACCGTGTGCAGCTATATATATGCATCCACTAAGTAACTAAAATAAAAGTTCATGTTTATAGATTATCTATTCCGGATATTCTGCATTGCATGTTTTGTACATGTCGTGTGCTTATGTGCATGAGAAACTTTATTTTTAATACATAAGATTAGTATTGAGGGAAATGGATGAAGAATAGCATCACTAAGCAGGGTCATAGAAGAAATGTAAACATTAGGTGGAGAGAAGCATCTCCTGCTTGAAGAGATGGTGGAGGTAGAATGACGCAGTCATCAGCAAACTTTTATACGTTCTTAGAAGGGACTGAATTTGGTGGCTTAAATCTTCTTAAGAGACTAACTTGCAAAGTTTTCCAGAGAATTAAAAATCCGAGTATTAATTAAAAAAAGCAGTTTGTCATTCTGCTTTCTTCAATGCATAAATCACAGTAGCAGATGTGAAATTCTCCCTTAAGTCTGCTGCTCTATCTGTAGTGCAATTGTCTTCCTTTTACACGTGATTTCTAGTTATACAGGAGTTTATACTAAAAAAAAAATTGTAAAGCTTTGTTTATCATAGCTTGTAATAGATGGCTTCATGCCCAAAGGTACCGTTTTAAGCCTCAGCAGATAAGTAGAAGACTAAGTGGAAGTAGAACTTTAGAATAATTTCTTACTTAGAACAATTATTATCTCCATATTTTGTCACAATTACAGGCAGGGATGCAGTACCTAATACTCTTTGTACCTCATGTATCTTGTATTCTGTGAAGTAATAGATTTGCCTCTAGAATCACCAGTTCAGTGTCCTTTCCTGTAATTGTAGCTGCTTCTCAAAAATACTGCACTTGAATGACCGTTTGCCTTTTTACTTGGAAGATACTGCCAATAAAAATTATATTAGTAAAAATCTGAATGGAGAGGGGAAATGGTGCTGAATTTCATTTAAATTCATCCTGCATACAGAAGATAAGACGTGAGGAAAGATTGCATCATTGTCAAGAAGAGAGAACTGGTTTAGAAACATGAGATACTTGTAAGGAAATTCTCCAGAAAAGCAAATGTGGAAGAAGGGTTCCTGTTTAGCTTTAAACATTGAATCTGAGCCTACCTGTTCTCAGGTTATTGCTGTTTATTATTGAAGACCTCCTTTGATTTTTTTTCTTATTGTAAAAATACCTGATATGATGGCAGCAGGCCAAATTCGTTCCTGTTCTCAGATACTTTCTAGTTGTATTTTGGAATTTAAAAAAAAAAAAAAAAAAATCACCTCTGTTTTTTCTTAGATACGTCACATTTTAACAGGCAACTGTTTGTCTCTCCTGAGTCTGCGTACCTGCAGTGTGCTTGTAGGACTTGAATAAAATGTAACTAACTCATATTCATTCACCAAACAAGAGGGAAAAGCTTAAATTGGAAGCAGGAATAATTTGACAGCAGTGATTTTAAAGGGTGATTTTTTTTTTTTCCCCCCTGGGCTACAGGTATTCATTACCAAGATATGAATTATGTCCTTAATATTTACTATCTGCTTTGAAATTAAGACTTAGAGCTAGCAATCCAAATAGCATCAGTAGGTAAAAATGTAGATTTTCATAGTAGTAGGGTGCCAGCACCTTTGCATAGATCAATGAAGTGATATTTCTTCAACACTGCAGTTTACCAGCTTTAGCATGTATGCATCCGTATTCTTGAACTGATCCTAAAAGTTAAGTGGATCCTGCAAAAGGTACAGCAGCGTGCGGTGGAATAGTATCTGTGCAACGTGCTTGTAGGAATCTGTAGGTTAGTACTTTCTCTACTGTGTTGATTTTCCAGTATGATTCCAGCTCTAAGTCCCCACTTGAGAAGATCAGGATTAGATAAAATGAGGTACGCTGAAGTGACCAGGAGGAGTTTCTTTGCATTTAGAATGATCGGTGAAGTTGGTCAAATAACACTGTATGTAATGTGTAGTCTGATACTTCTCTTTTCGTTGTTTTTTGTTTTTTTTTTTTTTCCCCATTTAATCAAATTATGATCATATAATGGTTTTGCTTTGTACATGCCAACTTCCAGGGTACATCTGTGAGAAAATGAACAGCTTTGGCAGAGAAAAAGCAGTCAAGTTTTTCATCAGTGAAAAAAATCACTCTTTTAGGGAGCTTGGAGATAAATTATGTATTATGAGGATGGGCCAACTTTTCAAAGATTATGCTGAAAAAATTTGCACTTCAATATTTGCTTAGTTTTAGACAATAGCAACTAAACCCCAGATCAGTCCTTAGGGACTGTTGGTTGGCAGGAAGTCTTTGGCTTGAGCTGTCATTTACATTCCTTGTAGATATTAGAGGAAAAGTTCTGGGTGATTGTAGATGCCTTTACTTTAAATATTTAAAACAAAATTAGATACCTCCAAAACAGCAGACTTTTCTTGCATGTAACCTTCTGTACACCCATACAATTATCCATACAATCAGTTTCATGTAATTGATTTATTTTCCATTATTAGTGCAGTAAAACTGCTGGACTCTTACTATTTCTGACCCTCTATACTGGATTCTATCTCTGCAAGGTTAGATATCAGTATCCAGAGGATGTGGATAGTACAGTATTTCTTATGGATTAAAAAAAAAATAAAATCACATAGGTTGAAAGGGACTGTATAGAGATTTTGTAGCGTTCTTATCCGTCTGTTCTATTAACAGTAATGGTCTCTGGCTGTTCTAGGTGATTTTTGAACATCTTCAAGGCTAGAAATTCTTCAGGCACTTCTCTCAATTTAAAAAAGCATAATGAAAAAAGTCCACACACAGAAAAGTGCCTAGAAAAACAACTCTCTTTTTATCTAGTTGGAGTTTTCTATGTTCTTGCTTCTATCTGTTGCTGCTTGCTATTGTGCACACCCTCAAGAATAGTCCATTTCTATACTTGAAGACAGCAGTAGCTGAGCAAAACAGGTCTATTGGCACATTCCTTGTGTGACTGTTAGACTTGTTAGCCATTTCGATAGGCCTTGAATGTATGAATCTGGGATGTCATTGTGTCTTGTACTCTGGAGATGTATTGGGCAGCCCAGCACAGGCTGGACATATATTTTTTATACGGTTTTACTTAGGTAGAATCAGTGGCCTACCTACTGACTATGCTCTTACTAATTAATATAACCTTAGATGTGATTGCTAAGAAGGCATAGAGCTGATTTGTTGCCCACCCCCAGGTGTTTTTCTGCAAAACTATTCTCTAGACTGTAAGTGTGCAGCCTGTACTGCTGTACTGGGTTATTCTAGCCCATACCCAGGACTTTGTATTTTCTTCCATTGATCTTCATGAGGTTCCATTTGTCCAGCTAGCCTGGACCCCTGCTTATAGTCAATTGACTGTTCTCCTATTTGATGTCCACAAACTTGCTGAGAGTATATTCTGCTCTATTGTACATTTTAGTAATAAAGACAATAAACAGCATTGGCGCCAGTATCAGTCCACAAAGAAGCAAACCAGTCTGAAACACCAATGCCACTGCAGTTGCCCAAAGGGTGCCATTTTGTACTTAAACTGTTTTTAAAGGCTATGCTAAGGGCTCTGTACTGTCACTGAAGTTTTATTAGACCAAAGCATGGGGAGTAATATTTTTGGGGAAAAAAAGCCAAGTACAAATCTCATCTGAAAAGATGGCAACTGTTTGAAAAGTAAATGAGAGAGATGCATACTTTACTAAAACAGTTCAGCTGCTTTCTCTGATTCCTAATTATTACTCTGGTCATCTAGAAGTTTAACTTTTTCTTTCTCCAGTTTCTTTCTGAGGGACTTAGCATCAGTATTTAAGAAGGGTAAAATAACATAAAAACTACATGTGTGAAACACGTTCAGGATATTTTATTCTGTCCTTCAGTGATAATTACTTCAGAATATACGAGCAAGAATAAAATGAGGCAAAGCATAGTCAGCGTGTGCTCTTTAGCAGAAGTGTTACTGCCAGAAAAATATCCTGTGTGATTTCTTTGAGGTCATTCATTTACAGAGCCACCTGATATCACAGAATGGCCTGGGTAGGAAGGGACCTCAAGGATCATGAATCTCCACATGCAAGGCCACCAACCTCCCTATTTAATACTAGATCAGGCTGCCCAGGGCCCCATCCAACCTGGCCTTGAACACCTCCAGGGACGGGGCATCCACAACCTCCCTGGTGCTGTTCCAGCACCTCACCACTCTCTCCGTAAAGAACTTCCCCTGATATCCAACCTAAATCTTCCTTCCTTCTACTTAAAACCATTTCCCCTTGTCCTGCTGTTATCTACCCTTTCAGAGAGTTGATTCCCCTCCTGTTTGTAGGCTCCCTTTAGGTACTGAAAGGCTGCAATGAGGTCACCCCGCAGCCGCCTTTTCTCCAGGCTGAACAAGCCCAGCTCCTTCAGCTTGTCTTCATAGGGAAGGTGCTGCAGCACCTTCATCTTTGTGTCTCTCCTCTGGACCCTCTCCAACAGCTCTCAGTCTTTTGTGTACTGGGAGCTCCAGACCTGGACACAGTACTGCAGATGGGGCCTCACAAGAGCATAGTAGAGAGGGACAGTCTGCTCCCCTGTCCCTGCTGGCCACCTCTCTTCTGATGGAGCCCAGGATACCATTTGCTTTCCGAGCTGCAGGAGCACACTGCCAGCTCGTGTTAAGTTTTTCATCCATCAGAACCCCCAGGTCCTTCTCTGCAGGGCTGCTTTCAAGGACTGCTCCTCCTAGTCTGTGTACACACCTGGGATTCCTCCAGCCCAAATGCAAAACCTTGCACTTTGCTGTGTTGAACCTCATCATGTTCACGCGGGCCCACCTTTCAAGCCTGTTGAGGTCCCTCTGAATGTCACCCCTTCCTTCCACCGTGTCAACCGCACCACTCAGCTTGGTGCCATCAGCAAACTTGCTGAGGGTGCACTCGTTTCCGTCATCGATGTCACTGATAAAGATGTTAAAGAGCACCGGTCCCAAGACAGACCCCTGGGGGATGCCGCTCGTTACTGGCCTCCACCTGGGCATAGAGCCATTGATCATCACCCTCTGTCTGCGGCCTTTCAACCAGTTTCTTATCCATCGAGTGGTCCACCCATCCGATTCCCATCCCTCCAATTTGGAGATAAGGATGTGGTGGGGGAGCATGTCGAAGGCCTTGCTCAAGTCCAGGCAAATGACATCGGTAATCTTCCCTTTGTCCACCAATGCCATTGCTCCATCATGGAAGGCCACCAGATTGGTTAGGCATGACTGACAGGACAAAGCATAGCAAAAGGGTAATCCTAAGTACTCTTGATTACAATTGTGAGTCAATAACGTGTGATCTGTGGTGTTAGCAGGTAGATTGAAGATCACATGTGGTCACAGATGCCATTTTTTGTCTCACTGTTGGTCAGCCACTTTATAGCATCACTGTGATGCTTTGGCCCTTTCTGTTTCAAATTCTCAGTTGAAATCAAAAGTTCTTCAGTTAGAGGTGATTGTTCTCTAATTAGTAATTAGATTCAAGTAGCTCGAATAATCTTTCAAGTAGACAAACATTTGCCTTGGAATAAGCACTGTATGTGTGCTAGTAGTTAGCAGTCTTGGAATTTCTCAAACTGACCCATTCCCTCACCGTGATTTTTCAGAACTGCAGCCACAACATTCATCATGTGATACAAAGCAAATTTGCAAAGTTGTCTGTGCTGTACTGTTACTTAGCGTAAGGAAAATTCTCTTACAATTTTATTACGTTAAAATCAGTGTCAGAAGACAATTGTTCTGTAGTTTAGCAAAACTGCATCACAAAAGACGCATTTTCTCCTGTCTACCTAGATAGTCCCAGGATAATTTTTGTGTCTCCTATGATCTTATCCTCTCAAGCTTCTAGTTTCCCACTTGCTAGTTATCAAGTCCTAGTTCATGTCTCCCTTGTCTGTATTTTGCTAAAAGACAGCTGGTTGTGAGTGGTGTGCCCTGCCAGCTTATGAGCCTGGGCACACTATGTCAGATGGACAGACTCAAATTGTGCAGTTTTCTTTGTGTTCTACTTGATATTCTGTCCTCTGAGTGGTCACTAGCATCTGTCTGCTGTTGCTGTGTCACCTCTCATTCACTCCCGATTTTTAGGAACTTTATTTAAAATGCTTGCTAAATGAAGATTTAATTAGTCAGAGCCTAAAATTGTTATAGGGATAGTTCATGGGCATAGTCGGGAGTTACGCAGAATATCTGTAGTATTATTTGCAGTAAGATCAAGGGAACTGATTAACTGTAGATCTATCTTTGTCTAGTTTATTACTCTTTAAAAATATAGTTAGTAACGCAGAAAATTTCAGATAATTTCTGGTTAAATTACATAGATGCAAAGGTATTTCTCAATTTCTGGAAATACTTGATAAGCCATACAGACTGTAAGAGAATTTATTTTTTGAGTGACAGAGTATTGTGTACATTGGTTGCATCAATCTCAATTTTTCTTTAATGTTTTCATTTCATAATAGTGGGAGGCTTCATATACTCTGTGTAATGCTTATTCTGTTTGTTCAATGTAAACAGCGTTTAGCCTCTTGTTATTTTTGCAAAAGATTTCTTCTATATTTTGGCCAAGAGAAGGTTGTCACCTGGGCTTGTTTTGTCTTCTGGTGTGATTTGCATAAGTTTGCCAGAGAAACTTGCCTTCTTGTTAGGCAGCTGGCATGGGGTAGCTTGCAGAGAAAGAGGAATGGTCAAGGAGCCCGTTTGATATGTTTGGTTAGTGTTCAATCCTTTTTACTTCTACATGGCTCCTTGACTCTCAATCAGCTATTGGTTGCAGGAAGTTTGCATGTGATGTCTGTAAGCTGAAAGGGGCAATAAATGCTTCCTGCACACAAAACTTGGAGAACCTCAGTCATTACAATTGTTTTTACAGAGGAGAGTAGCGCAGACTTCTTTGTTTCACCTTTATGTCAGCGTGTGCTGACTTCAGAAAAATACAAGATTTTGGCCTGCGAATTCCAAAGTCTGGAGGCATCTCTGCAGGGATAAAATAACGGCTTGCATCTCGGATTTCTTGTAACGTTGATTATTTGGCAAGAACTGTGTTTCACCTCGTTCCATGTTGTAGTCATTGTTCTGTAGGTAACTCCAAACTACCATTTTCTCTTTCCAGGTCTCCTGCAAGCGCAGAATCTCTTAACGCAACTACCTCAGCAAAGCCAAGCCAACCTCCTGCAGTCTCAGCCAAGCATCACCCTTGCCTCGCAGGTCAGCCTTATTTCTAGAGTTCATGAGTTTCTGAGGGATTTGAATCATTGCAAGAGAATAAGCCCTTTGTATCTTAGTTACAGTAGCAAATACAGCTCTACTACAGGTATAAATATGGTGATAGTATTGAATTTGTCTTTCTGGATAAATTCAGTATAGAACAGAATAACCTGTAACTTCAGTTTTGTAACTTTCTACTTGAATGTGCTATATATATATATGTTTTTTTTTTTTTTTTTTTTCCCATGGACTTTGTTTTTATTTTTAGCTGAAAGTTTTCATGTTTAGCATTTTGATTTAATGGGACTGGAGGAGCATTTGATTTCTTGTAGGGTTTTCTTGGAAACTTTATACTTTTGTGAAATTCGGACGAGCAAGGTGTGGGCTGCTCAAAGAGAGGATTACAGACTAGTATCTTTTTAGAGATTGCAGTGGTAATCTGTCACTATTCTAGCTGAGTTGTTTCACTATTATTGTCAAGTCACTGCCAGTCTTATTAGTTACCTTCTGTGAAAGTGAAGATATTGTCAGAAATGCATTAAAGTATTCTGTTAGATATATGTTAAAATATTAAAGCTCTATGATTAAGCTCTCAGACAGTAAGAAAACCAATTATAAGATTGCACGTGCCTGCAAATTTAATTTTGCTTCTCTCTGTGTTTTACTATGCAGTTTAGTTACATGATTGCATGCTGTTTCTAAAATACTATGTAACATCATACTGTATTTTCCTGCCTTGGTTACATGTAAGAAATGTTTAGTCTGTAATAAGATGCCCGTGTCTATCAGAGTCTTAGAAAACTGCATTTTCTATTATACCACCTATAGTACTCTTCATGCGCCGTGCAGAAAATGAAATTTGTCTCACCTCCATAGTATAAACTATAGAGGTTAGCAGCATGACTCCACTAAAGATTGTACTTGGATTTTTAAAAAAGTATCAAAGCCACTAAGACAAAGTAAATTCTATAAAGGAGATGAAGTCAATAAAAACAGTGAAGTAATTATTCACTGTGTTTAGCATCAATTTAAAAATAATGGGGCACATACGTCTGCAGTCCTAGGAAGATCATACATGGTCGTATTATTTCTCAAGTAATGCAGTTATCGATACTGACCTTCCTCTACCATCTGCTATGCATTGCACGATGCTACTGCACTAAGCCAGGAAAAAAACAACTATTATGTAAAGACTCAGCTATGTATGGAGTATTTATTTTAGAACAGCCATTTCTGGATCTTTGCAAGCTACTGTGGTGTTGCATAGACTTGAGAATGAATTGCGCTGAAGGAGCCTGTTGTTTCGGAGTTGGATGTAGGATATAAAAGCTAATCAGCTGAACAGAATATAATTTAAGTAAAAGATTTGTCTGTGTATCTCAGGTTATCTATTGCATGTCAGAAGTTAGAGGTTTGTACCTAAAACATGTTTTCAGTGTTTCTGCAGCACATAAAACCTGAACTGTGCAATATCACATTTTAATGTATTTTGTTCACCTGTTGAGATTATGCTTTTTCTTTTTTTAAACAAATTCTTACTGCTGTATCTTGTATGTTGATGTTCAGGAAGAGTGAGCCTTGTGCTGACTTTCTGGAAGATTTGCCTTTTATGCAGAAGTAAAATAAGATCTAAAAGGAATTAATTTTTTTGCAGGTTGCCTTTACTTAGTTTCTTATATAATCAGTGCTGTCATCCTTATTGTTGGAAGTATAAACAGAAGGGTTAGAGAGTGATGTATTTTTTTCTTTACTCAAATTGTTGGGTCACTCATGAGAGGTGGCATTAGAGGAAATTTGCTAGGTGTGCTGCCCCTTTAGGTGCTCACTGTTCCAAGATTATACAGGAGAGTTCATACTTTTGGGCTGATGACAATCTGCGACTTCATACAAGTAGTAAATTCAGTTTTTAAATGATTAAAATGGTATGAATACCTAGCTGTCTATAGCCAATAAAACTATATCAAGTAGGAGTGTTCAGCCCTTCTTTGAGCGGCTTCTGTAGCAAATTAAAGTTGTTTGTTATCTGCTGCACTGAACATCTCGTAGGTTTCTTTAATGGGTTCTGTCAGAGCCTTTAAAAGACTGCCATATTGATACAGTTTTCTGAGTTGCGTTTGCTTGTTCTTGAGAAGAATGTAGATAAATTTAAAGAACTTTCAGATTGATGGAAATGTCAAATTCATGGATCTTTCTCACAGAAACCTCTCGTACTTTTTCTAAGGTTATTTTTTGCTGGTAATTCTTCTAAGTCTGATTTTCATGTTTTCCTTGCCCTCTATCCTAATAGCCAGCAACCCCAACACGCACAATAGCAGCGACCCCCATTCAGCCACTTCCACAGAGCCAGTCAACACCAAAGCGAATAGACACTCCCAGCTTGGAGGAGCCCAGTGACCTTGAGGAGCTTGAGCAGTTTGCCAAGACTTTCAAACAAAGACGGATCAAACTTGGATTCACTCAGGTGAGACTGCGTACCTTAGTGCCTACCAGTGTGGAATCTGAGGTCTCATCTTTCAAGTCTGGAGGGGGACTACAATTCCACCTTTTCTTAGGAGTACCTTCTTAAATAGGGTTATGCTCTGGCCTTTATGTAGGGGATTTCTAAGAAATAACAGAAAAAGCCATACATCCATCTTACATCCCTGTTGGTTTTAAAGCATAGCCATTTTCCCAGCAGGTACATGCATTTACCAGCTCCAGATGTCATTGCATGTGCACTATCCATTCTGTAGGATTTAAAATGAATGGGACAAAGCACTTTAAAGCTGCCTTCAGAAGTACAAAGTTCCAAAAAAATCCTACAGCACAATTAACTGCTCTGTGTGTTTAAAAAAAAAAAAAGTATGTCACAACTGTGGAGTTGCTTTGGTTGTCAAAGGGTTTTTATCTCTCAAGTGTATTTTGCTATTAAACATCAATGATTCCTGTATTTAATGCTTCTGCTAAGGTTCCTAAACAAAACCTGAAAGGACTGTCACCTTTGAAGTTCTCTCCTTGCAGAGATGAACTGGAATTGTGGTTTATTTATTTATTTATTTTTTGTTTAAAAGCTCAGAAATAGCAAAGAGCTGAAGAAAAGTAATCTTGAATGTAGTGAAAATGGTTGAATGAGGAGTACAATTAGAAGTACAATACAATTCATTATTCTGTTGAAGGGAAATACCACTTGGATGCAAGAGCTCTTTTGTATCAATATAAAAATGAAATATTTCACTACAGAATTAAAATACCTGTCCAGGTAAACAATTCATTCTGTCAGGAGCCTATGTTAAGCACAGAAGTGTTTTGCCAGGAGAAATAGCAAACAAAAATCCAAGTAGGTATTTAAAAGTCTGACTTCAGAGCAGACAGTCCAGAATATTTGATTTGTCCACCCTTGGAATAAGGAAACCTATTCTAGCTGAAAGTATGTGCTGAAGTCAGATTTATTTTTCTGGCAGAGTTTTAAATGTTTGAAAAACCAGGGTTCATAATGAAAGTTCCTGGCAGCGACTTAATTATAACTGAAGAACAGAATGTTCCTAGTAAAATTAAGTGCATTTTGCTGGCATGTGTGCCTCCTTGTCTTCCTTCTTTCCACTAGAGGGAGGTACAGAAAGGTAACAGTAATAGACACACATAAAAACTGGAATAAAGCAGAACAGAATAGAGTAAAACACAATAGCTTCCCTACAGCCTGATTGAGGAGGTTTATGTAGATCTTTAGCTATTACGTATAGTCTGTCCTACTGTGAAATGATTATAAAGGCTCAGCTAAGACTTTTTAAGCTGTGGATTAACCCTTCTTTTTTGACCCTGTTACGAATTTTTGTGGTCAGGACAAACGATCACAGCTATTCAAGCTTGCATTTTAGTATTTGCTTTTTAGCTTAAAGATAGCAAACAGAACAAGCAATAACATTGCATTTGATCATTCCTGTCCTACATTAAGTGTGTATGTATGTATTTAGGCAATTCTAATGAGTTTTGTTTGCTTGTGTAATTGGATAACTAGAGATCCCTATTACTTCAGTTTCCTGTAGTTGGATAAGCAGACTGCCTTTCAGAGGATAAAATAAATTTATTTCCAGTAGCACTGTAAGTTTTTTCAAACCCAGCCCACCGCTGTTTTTCAGAGATTGTTTGCACAGCAAACTGATCACTTACCATATTCTACCTTCTGAGTAATATAAAAGATACCGAATTTCAGCAGTGTCTTCCTCCAGAAGTGTCCATAGTAGACGTATTTATGGCCTGTTGTTTAACTGTTTTTCTTAAAAGTGTCTCTGTCTCTGACATGCAGAGTTACAGTGGAAGGATTGTGTTTTGGTGTTATTGCAGTTATGGGACTAATTGCTCAGGACAGCTTGAAGCTATGTGAACAAATATTTTAGACAATGTTATTTTTACTCTCTACAAGATATTACCTCCTCTAATCCATCTGAACTTCATAGAATCATAGAATGGCTTGGGTTGGAAGGGACTTCAAGGATCATAAAGTTTCAACTCCCCTGCCACAGGCAGAGTTGCCAGCTACTAGGTCAGATTGCCCAGGGCCCCATTCAGTCTGGCCTTAAATGCCTCCGGGGTCGGGGCATCCACAGCTTCTTTGGGCAACCTGTTCCAGCACCTCACCACTCTCTCAGTCCCCTGACAAATAGTCTAAATTTCGCCTGTAATTTAAAACCATTCCCCTTTGTCCTATCAGTGTCTACAGACAAGCACACACAATGGTGATGTACCTTATAATCCATCTCATTTCATTTCTAGAGCGTCATTCAGTCTACAGCATAGATCAGACATCTTGTTCATCCTCTGTTCCGTACTTTCAGTAGCCCACTCCAGAATATGAAATTCTCATTCCTATTCGCAGATTTCTTTGCCTACATCTGCAATGCTACCCTGCCACCTTTTGGTATTGAAAACTACTGACAAAGAAATGGTTAACTATTCATTTTAAATCATACAATAAACGTTAGTAAGAACAACATAGGTATCAGAATTAAATTTGGTTGGGAACTGGAGCAAATTTCATAAATCTCTCTTCCAAGACATAGTACAGCTTATGTCTAAAATAGTTTACATAGCCAGGTTTTATTCATAAACTCAATACAGCATCCAGCTTACTTCTCATGGAATGATTTGTGAGTTTTGAAATGCACAGAATCATGGGATACGAGTAGAGATTTCCTCAATTTTTCTTTTCTGTTTGAAGGGCTTACAAACCAATTGTTCTGGTTCCTCTTCGAAGAAGGAGTTTGTTTTCTTCATGCAGCCTGCACAATTTACTTACCAAAGGCTTACCTTGCTTGTGTGTGGCCACTCTGCATGCTGTTACTTTATTTGTGTCAAGCTGTGGTTGTGGATCTGACCTAAAGGAAGATGAGCAAGCTTTATGCACCATCCAACTAACTCAGTCGCAATTAAACTCCACTAACTGTGCTCAAGCTCTTAAGTCTTTTCTTCTAGGCTTTTGTGTATCACCTTTTGTGTAAAAACAAACAAACAAACAAACAAACAAAAACTAAATTAAACTAATTTATAGCACATAGTAAGAAATGACTAAATTTTCTGAAAAGACAAGACCTTCATGCTGTAAAACAGAACTTGAAAGCATGCTGTTTACAATGACCATGATCAGGAATAGGTCTTTATTAAATGAGACTTTCAAAGCATGCAATACATGGAGGCAATATAACTACAGTTGAGCAGAATATCTGAAAGCTAGCTGAAACTAAGTTTTGAAAAACAATAACATGTAAAGAGGTGATCATCTGTCTGTTAATTTCATGGATCGCTTTTGGCAGATGGGTATTGGTAGTGAAGACTACCTTTAATCATTATTTGAAATGATTGAACTTTTTGCCTGCTTTGAAATGCATACCTATGAGGAGGAATTTGATTTGAGCCTCGGAAGATACTAAAAGTTCAGCTATGAGTATTTTTCCATTTATTTAAATGTGACTTAAGTTTGTAGACAAGCTTCATTCATCTCTTCAAGAGTGTTTTTCTGCTAATTTGAGGACATAAATTCACTGTATTTCTGCTTATTTGAACTTTCCTTTGTTGATGTGGATTACATCGAGCCTTAAATCTGCTGCTCCCAAAGAGAGTTTGGCCTTTCCAAAGAAACTAAGAAAAAAATTGCAAGTTAATATTCAGTGGAATGTTCTGATCAGTGGTAATGCTAAGAAGAAAAAGCAAGAGGGATTTCCTGGAAAGAGTTACATAGTTAATCTGACCGAGTGAAGTTTGAAAATATGACATTTCTTTATCTTTATTCGCTTTAGCATGAATCTTTAATGCTGAGCAAGTTTCTGTGAAACTGAATTCCATGCAGTAGAGGAGTCACTAAATACTCAAGGATGTTGACAGGATTCCTTGCTTTGGAAGTACCTTTGTTAGTGAATCCCTTTTTTCTCTTTCTTTGTCCAGGGTGATGTTGGGCTCGCTATGGGCAAACTCTATGGAAATGACTTCAGCCAAACTACCATCTCTCGCTTTGAAGCCTTGAACCTCAGCTTTAAGAACATGTGCAAGTTAAAGCCACTTCTGGAAAAGTGGCTCAATGATGCAGGTGAATGAGTCTGTGTATTTCTTCACCAGCCTATCAAAATCAGTAGGATTCTGAAAAACTCTGGGAAAAATGCTTCGTTGGTGCCCTTATGGTTTTATGAAGCCACTGACCTATGTTCATGGGACAAAAAAGGGTGCAGAAATAAGTGTCCATTCTTCCCTGTTTGTGTGCCCACATATGTCTGAAATAGTTCCATTGTGAACTTCTAGAATTGTGTTCTACAGTCAGCTGAATAATTGCATGGGGTGAGATGTAATGTGTGTCATGGTTTTCCTCCTTCATGTATGTTAATGCATATAACTTCTAATCTTCCTCTAGCTTTCTTTTTCAGATGTGTAATAAGAGAGAGTTGCATGCTTTGTTGTTTCAGTAAGCAGAGCTTATTGCATTCATCTCCTCCCACATCCCCTGTGTGCATTCTTTTCATCTCACTCCAAGAGTCCTTATGAGCACTCTCTTTCTCTCCACAAGAAGAGTTGTTAGTTTTTTTTTTCTTCACAGAATGATTTTTTTTCGTAGGAGAAAGTTACTCATGATGTTAGTGTTACAGTGAAAAAAGGAAAAAGGAAAAAAAAAAAACAAAAAACACCAGAAAAATGAAGCTTGGATGATGGTGCTAGGTGTTAGGATAGATAATGTTAGTGCTGTCAGCTTTTTTTTCTTTTGAGTGTACAGTTGTGCATAGTATAAAACTGATAGATCTGCTAAACAGGTGGCGTAGACAATTTGTGCCTTCCTATTTTTATCAAGATGAAGAGAGCTTTATGCTATTACCTACAGTATTCCCTGAAATTCTGTAATTAACTGGATGCAGTGTTGAAATTTTATTTCTGCAATGGAACAAGGAAGTGTCGTTCTGTTGTGCTTGACAGGTGCAACTTTGGATAATGTGGATCTATGATAGGAAACATAAAGAACTTCACACTGACAGCTCTAGGCCACAGGACAACGGTCCCCAAACAGCTGACATGAGGGAATGTCATATTTTGCATTTCCTGCTAACCTGAGGAAATACTTGGATCTGTAAAGTGAAGTTAAAGACTTAACAGTGCTGGGCTCATTTGCAGCCTGGAAGTTAGGAGCCATAGTCTTTGGCTCTCATTTAATTTCTTGAAAATCTTTGAAAGAAAGATTCAGGTGACTGTAAAGATCATTCAGCTATTTTTGGGTAAAAGCAGGTGGCAGAAGCATACCAACGATCCCTTCCATTATGTTACGTTGGAGTGTTAGAATTCACTGTTACAGAACTTGGTTTGTTCTGTGGGATTTTCAGGGTGGAGAAGGGATCCAGCAGGTTTATGGGTACTGTTACTGAAAAAAATATAATGTAGAAAATAATGTGATGAATGTACTTGCCCATTGGAGCCTATGAGAGTGATGTTAAGCATTATGAACCACTTTGTCTACTTACCAGGCACAAACCCTAGTGCAGCAAGGGGTCTTCAGTGTTACTCAACCATAATTGGTCATTTTGACTGAGCTTCCTTTTGGAACCTGTCAGTTGGTTGTTTTGCACTTTCTTATGCAGAGTGGGATAAAAGTGCATATTCTCTTTGCTATTCTGTGGAGCCAGAAAGAATAGGATTAGCAGTTGACAACTGGAGACCTTCTAAAGCTAAGGAGGGGGAAACTGCTGGATATGTAGGCTTTCTAGCAAAGCTACATAGCACAGAGACTATCTGCTAAGATCTTCAGAGAAAAGAGGTTTAATGCTGTGAAGCTGTCTGGGAGATCCTTCTTCCTCTACTGTATTGCAGAGTAGGTAAAAGAAATTTCAGATTGCTCACATTTTTTTTTTTTTGGCCTATTGCTGTGGCTTGTGAATATCAACTGCTGCATTTTTTCCTTGAACTGTAGTTGCAGTGTGAGAGTGTGGGTTGAAATGAAATAAGGGAGAAAGAAACTTTGTGTAGGTAAAATAAAAAGGGCACTCTGGTAGAATACAGGAGCAAAGACAGCACCCTCCCGGGCTTAACTTGTAGATTTTAAGTTTCAAGTACAGCAGTTAATGCACGTGATCTTCGGAAATCTCTGTATATCTGGAATAGATACAGAGTGGATTTTAGCGTCCCATGCACAGGTGAAGAACACTTACATTATAAGTTGCACTGCATTCAGATAAAATCTCTTAATTTGTATTATTATTATTATTTATTATTATTATTATTATTTTTTTCAGAAAACCTCTCATCTGATTCAACTCTCTCCAGCCCAAGTGCCCTGAATTCTCCAGGGCAAGGAATCGAAGGCGTGAACCGTAGGAGGAAGAAACGCACCAGCATAGAGACCAACATACGTGTGGCCTTAGAGAAGAGTTTCCTGGAGGTCAGTGATGCTGTTGTTCAGGTCAACCTATAAAGAAACGAAGAAGCTTTTGTTTGATGTTGCACGTGCTAGAATGAAGCCATTACCATACTGTTTAGGAAAATGCTTGTACTAAAGGAGGTAAATTCAAAGACTGTTCCAAGGAGCACGCGATCAGTGTCTATTTTAATTTGAAAAATCAACAACAAACATACATACCACCAAAACCACCCCACCAAAATCTCATTGGTTCTTACAGTTCATTGACTCAGTGATTTTTTTGCAATCCAGGGTGCCGAACAATAGCTCAAAGCTTGATATTGTGCACATCAAAAAGAATAAAACAGAATTATTTTTTCTGAGGGTGGGTGAGTGGGTAACATACATACATAACAAAGTTGAGACTTTGAGCGTATATAACATTCAGTTCTAAACTACCTTTGTGCAGCTGTATGTGCAGATGTATGTTCTGTTTGTTTATGAGAGATGCTAAAAGAAAGCTTTCCAGTCAATACCTGGAGTTCCTAGAAGGATAAACTTACAAGTCAGATCCTTTCTCTCATTAAGACAAATGTGAGCTTTGTCTTCATCTCCCATCTTTGAGGAATGTAGCTTACCATTGGTACAAATTTTCCTGTTACTTGGAAAGTGTAGGGCAAAAGTATCTATTATGATTTCTCTCTAGAGAATGTACCACTGAGCAGATTTTGCATATAAATAGCCTGTCCAGATTTCTGTCTAGTGAAGGAGAAGCTATAATGTAAAGCATACGGAGGTAACTTCTCACCTTTCAAGTACTTGTTGCCTTTCCTTAGAACCAAAAGCCTACCTCGGAGGAGATCACCATGATAGCTGACCAGCTAAACATGGAGAAGGAGGTGATCCGCGTTTGGTTCTGTAACCGGCGCCAGAAGGAGAAAAGGATCAACCCACCCAGCAGTGGTGGAACCAGCAGCTCGCCCATCAAAGCAATTTTCCCTTGCCCGACCTCACTGGTAAGAATCAAGAATCTGTGTTGACAAAGATCACTGGAAAAGAAAGTTCTGCTCTGCGCTCTGTGACAATTGCACGTGCTACACCTTCTTTGTACAGCAGATTGGTTCTCACAAGTGTATCTTTTACTGGCATTTTAAATATCCTTCTTGCATACTACGAAAGCGAGAGAATGCTTAAATATTAGGTACTAATCAGGTCTTCACTTCAGGCATTTTATTTAGCCAATTCATGACTGAGTATTCTGGCTAGGAAATTTGCATTTAGGTTGTTGCTTTGGAAATATGTGAGACATAGCCCATGCTTATATCTGGATCTTCTCTTGACAAAACTGTTTTTATATAATATAATAGTAATAAAAAATGCTTAGCAGTTCTATCCTTCCTGCCTTATTTCGGCTGCAGTGGTAAGCAGGTGAGCAGCAGTAAATCGTATCATTTGGAGACTTGAGTCATAAAAGTCCAGTGTTACTGTTGTCACTTTTATTCAGGAGTTGTTGTATCAAGAAGGCATGGAACAAAGGAAAAAAATAGCTAATACTCATGTAATTAATTTCCCAAACTTGTATTTACCTCAGGTAAACACAAACTTCATGAAAATATGAGTAACAAAACACTTGCATCACGGTTCCTTCAGCTCCTTTGCTACCAATGTCCATGGAGGTCTGTTTTCATAAATAGAAACAGTAGCTATTAGATTTCATAGTAGCTATGCTAATAGGACTGTGGTGGAATTTATGTAGCCTGTAGTTGTCTTTTTGTAGTATTTATTCCACCTTCATCATTGTAGTAGCTAATATCTTCCAGTACTTCATTAAATCATTAATTTTGGTGATGTGTCATTCTTTCCCTTCATCCTTGTCTCAGGATGTGTGCATGCAACTTCTCATTTCAGGGGAAGGGATATGTTAACTGTACTTAGTCCTTTTATTTTTCTTTTTTTCCAGTTGGAAAGCAAGGCTACATGCCTTGCTACCAAAGCAGAACATAGTGAGATTGGTTAAAGTGTGCAAGCATTCTTGGACTGCAACTTCAGAAATTTATGTAGGAAAATTTTCTTTTTAATTACCAATGGCCATTGTGTATGAGAAATTGAAATCTTAACAGCAGTGTCCATTTTATTAGTGATATTGCACTAAAGCATATTCACTCATTGTAAGCTTCTCTTAAGACTGTATTACCACTCAGATGGACATTCCTCCTCCCCCATCCCCTAGTCTTCACTGGCTATATGCTCTGTTGATTTCTTTTGTCAGCTCTGGAGGCTGTGTACGTAGGATGATTGGACTCTGCTATTTTGGCTACAAGTTAACCACGTGAAGAATAATAATTTTTAGTAGTATGTCTGAATAACCAATCTAGTTTCCACCCTGACTACATAAGTGCTAGAGCTCTGTGGCAGGATTGGAGGGGAATGCTGGTTTTGATGGTAGCCTCCTTTTGCATTGGCTTAAGTCAGTCACTGTAACCACAAGGGTTAGCTGTATTAATTTTAGGTCATTCACTGCCCTGAAATATTGATTGTGACTTTGGCCTTAACTGTTCAGTGGACGGTTGACAGATGTGGTGCGTAGGCTGTGTTAGTGGGAGGTGTACTGTATGTCTAGTTCTTTATTTCATAGACTATTTGAGATGGATGGAAAGCTCTTAGACCTGTCCCAGTTGCCCCAGCCTTGTTTAAAATGCGTAAAGCATTTGACTTCCTATAAGAGGATATGCAGCATGAGAGAGATTTCTCTGATAATGGACTTCGGTAAGAGATGGGAAAAGAGGAAGGTTTTAGCCTGTATTCTTAGCTGGGTTCTCTTGGGCAATTTTGAAGTATTAATTTCTCTCATTGGTGTAAAGCAGCCTTCAAATATTTCTCTTAGAAGCTATTTCTTGTCCATAAAAAGTCCTTTTTTTTTTTTTTTCTTAAATTTGCTGTTGCTTATAAGTGTACTTCTGCAACCTTAGTTCTTACGGTGTATTCTCTCCACGGTATCTGCAGTTTATTTTATAGCTTGCTTGTACTAAGCTGTCCATATGTTAAATAAGCTAATGTCATTTGGATGTTTTAAAATTTAGAGAACATTCCTCTGACATAAGGGAACTTAGCAAAATAGAGCTCATAGGTTGCTTGAATAAATGTGAAACGTTATGCTGTTTATCCATGTAAACAGACTAAAGACCTTTGTTAACGCTGTGGCCTCTCAATCATTTTATCAGAGAACGAGATGTGTAGCTGAAAAGATGTTTAAACAAAGGAAACACCTTAATAGGAACTTAAAAAACACATTGATAGTATCTTTTGTAACTCTGGCAGAGTGGCTCTATTAAGCAAGGTTCTGTCTTTGGCAGGAAGGGATAGGTGGAGGGCCAACTTGCAGTCCTGAGACAGTATGGATATATACGGATAAACCTCCCTTCAAATGCTGAGTTATTAAGGGTGAAGATACTGCTGGTAATAAGAGTTGGTAATATGGCTAGCCCACTGAATGCTGAAGTAATGGATTTAGAAGATCCTTTACTAGTTAGTTTATGTGCAGTATTTTCCCTGGTAATATCCTCAGCCGAGGATGAGAAGAAAGAAATGCAAGTCTAGTAGCTACCTGCTTTTGTCTTAACAGTTGAGCAGTTGTATTCTTTTTTGACCTCCAGGTGGCAACCACGCCAAGCCTTGTGACTAGCAGTGCAGCTACTACCCTGACTGTCAATCCTGTGCTCCCTCTGACCAGTCCTGCTGTAACTAGTTTGTCAGTCACAGGTAAGATGCATGCCGTGACAGTTTCTCCACAGTTCATTTATTTTTCGTTGTCAGGTAAATCATGATGTCAGACAAGTAATTAAGGTTTTATAGAGATAAAGATTTTGTTGGATTTCTAGTATCCTTCATTGTAGTTATCTGGAAGAAATTTAAAACTCTCTGGGATCTACTGCCTGAGTTTTTGTATAAAGTAGCTATTGGATTTTGATGTATGCAGTGCATAATAGGATGTGAAGATGTTTCAGACAAATATCTATAAGCTGCTGGGCTGGAATTGGAAAGCAGGGAAGAAAAATGATAGATATGATATCTTTATGATAGATAAAGAATCTTTGAGATGTTGTGAACTCATCTTTTGTATGTTGGTTCCAAGCATTCCTTTTCTCTCAACTTTAAACAAAGTTCCTATGTAGATTTGCCTTGCCCCCATGTTAACCTCTACCGTTTTCCCCTTTCAAATTATTCAGAAGGTCTTTCTTTATCTCGCTAGCAATCACACAGGTCTCTCGGGGCATCTTGTCATTGTTCCTCATTACTCCTCTCTGAAACTTCAGTCTTTGTGACCATTTGGTTAACTTTCCTGGTGAAACAAACACGGGTAATAGTGAAGTGAAAGGTGCTACCTCCTATTGCTAGTTTTCTAGTGTTCTTCTGCCCCTTCTTGAAGTGTCATTCTGTTGTAGACTGAGACCTAAACTCAGCACCACCAGACTTTGTTCTAGAAGAATGTGTGTTTACCTCCCTTTCCGTTGGATGTGCAGTTCAGTTCAAGTGGTTTCTGCTCAGTTATATCTGGCTTTTGTACTGATATAACCAGACTCAATCTTTTAGGCACAACAGAAACCACCTCCAACAACACAGCAACAGTGATTTCAACGGCACCTCCAGCTTCTTCAGCAGTGACATCACCCTCCCTGAGTCCTTCCCCTTCTGCCTCAGCCTCCATTTCAGAGGCATCCAGTGCCAGCGAGACCAGCACAACACAGACAACCTCCACTCCCTTGTCCCCCCCTCTTGGGACCAGCCAGGTGATGGTAACAGCATCAGGGTTGCAAACAGCAGCAGCAGCCGCATTACAAGGAGCTGCACAGTTGCCTGCAAATGCAAGTCTCGCTGCCATGGCTGCTGCAGCAGGATTAAACCCAGGCTTGATGGCATCCTCACAGTTTGCAGCTGGGTAAGGATGAATTTTTCACACCCCTTGCAGGTTAAGTGGCAGGAGAGGGAAGGAGAATTCTTGGAATAATTCGTGAGGTCTTTTATATATTGCAGTTTTCTAGTAGCTCGTTTGGCAGTTTTAGTGTCTATTACCTGAAATTCTGAAGGTTTGCTTGTAGATGGTCGAGATACCGTTCCCATCAGAGTACACAAACATGGTTTTCATTTTACAGATGAAAAAGCTGTGTTGCAGAGTTATAATTTGCCAGGTCATCAATCCTACTGCTCAGTTTGACTTAAGAGCTGCAACTTACCAGAAGTCATCAAATCATCTCAAATGGAGAGTTGACCTAGGCCTACCTGTCACCTCTGTATTTTTCCACCACAATCAAGAAGCTGTAAAAATGCATAATACGTGTTGACGTTTTTGCTTTAAAAAACATTGCTCTGAGAGGTGGCTCTTTGTTTCTTCAATTCCTCTTGAGTGACATCTGTCTTATCTGAATCTAGGGGGTGATGATAGCTGTTTAACAAGTTACGGTTTCCCAAAAATACATTACAGGAATATTTTACATCTATGATCAATGCAACTTGTAGTTGCAGTGCCTGTACTTCAGACATATTGCTAACCACAGAGCTGAAAGGCAATATCTACTCAAGATATTGTCAAAGAAAAAAATGAAATAAACTAAAAACTAGATTGAGGCCTTAATCTTCTGTGTTCCCCCCTGCCATTATTTAAAAAGTGGGATCATGTAGTTCTAAACAGTGGTCACCTTTTCCTAAAAGTAACACTCTTTCCCTTTGTCTTTGTTTCTTCCATGATCTTGGTTCCTGCAGAGGTGCCTTACTCAGTCTCAATCCAGGGACATTAGGTGGTGCTCTCAGCCCAGCCCTGATGAGCAACAGTACACTGGCAACTATTCAAGGTCAGTAAAGTTCTTCTTAATGCATCTCTGTTGTACTTCCTTAGCTTTGTTGTTCTCTACCAAAAAAAAGAATGCTGACCCTTCAGAACTGCACATAAGTGTTGTCAGACTAGAGGTTTTTCAAAATTCAAATGCCCAAACTCATTGTATGTATCATGGATTCAGGTACAACTTCAGAAAGTAGATTAGAACCATGTATAATCTCCATAGAGGTTCACAGAAGGCCTTTAAGATACTGCGTGTGATCTGAAATTGATTTTCTTGTCTTCCCCCCATAGTTTTAGAGGCACGTGTGTCTCCAGCAGGTTGGAGAGATGCATTTTATAGCTCTTCTGACATAAGCTTGAGCAGAGTTGCACTGTTTTGAGATCTGTAGGAGAGCACTTCTGAGAAAGACTTGATCCTGGCTTCTTCTCAAACGTCTTTTAAATGTACAAGTGAAAAAAATTCTACCCCTAAAACTGCTTACGTTTAACTTTAAATTAATAAATCCATATCTGGAGGAGTAAAGCTTTGTTTTGCAACTGCCATGCAGTCAAAAATTTCCAGTGACTTTAAAAAGTAAGATCTGTTCTCAGTTCATAGTTTGTCATCTATGGGGGGAAAAAGAAAGTTGGTGCAGGTGCCTTAACATCTAGCTAACCTTGTGTATTCAAACATCTTGGGGACTATCTGATCTGCCTTACAACCCCTACAATTCTGTGATTGATTCTGTGATCTTCTAAAGCAGCTTAACAAATCTTGTTTGCAGGGTCCAAGAAAGAACCGTTTCACAAAGGGTCACAGATAAATATATGAGATCATAATCTAAGGCAGACTGAACCCTATAGCCTTGTGAGAGTAAGTTGTAACTGCATTTATGTTGTAATTTTAAAAGTTACTCTCAAGGTTACATGACCTTCACCTTGTGATAACTGTTGTTTCAAGTGAACACGCATCTCAACCCTTTCCAAGTTACCTGAGTGCACAGATTTTTCTTTGACAGAAAACACAGCAGTGTTGCAGTGAAAGAGCTGAAGAAAAGCTTGATGGAATTAGGAGCAGGCGGCAGAAGCGTTTTAATATTTGCAAGGTCTTATCCACCCTTCATAAGGATTTGTCATTTAAAAAAAGAAAAGTTACATATGATGACTGTCATTAGTTGTGTAGGGAGCATTCACATCAGAGAAAGAAAGTGCAGAGCCCTGTTGCTGTTAGGCACATTCTGCATTGTTGCTTACTACTGATGCTATCTCCTCCCTGCTTAATTTTCCATTTTTTTAGCTCTTGCATCTAGTGGCTCTCTTCCAATAACATCACTGGATGCATCTGGAAACTTGGTGTTTGCCAATGCTGGAGGTACTCCTAACATCGTAACTGCCCCTCTGTTCCTGAACCCTCAGAACCTTTCTCTGCTCACCAGCAACCCAGTTAGCTTGGTCTCTGCAGCTGCAGCCTCCGCAGGGGCCTCTGGACCAGTCGCCAGCCTTCATGCCACCTCCACCTCAGCTGAGTCCATCCAGAACTCTCTCCTCACGGTGGCCTCTGCGAGCGGGGCCACGTCCACCACCACTACTGCCTCCAAGGCACAGTGAGCTGGGCTGAGCTGTGCTGCCAGCAGCCTTTTTCACTGTGCAGTGGGATTGGCTGCCAGTAGGGTTTATGAACTGAAAAATGTGATGGTCATCCTCTCACCGTGTTGCTGGGGACAAGGGAGAGAAGGAGAAATATTAAAAAAAAAAAAACAAAAACAACACAAAAACAAAACAAAAAAAAACAAAAGCAAAACAGGAAGGATTTAAAGCTGGGACAGACATTTGCCTAATTTTATAATAAACACTGTCTTTTCAGGATCGCTTCATGGATCGGAGAACTTTCTAACCAAAAATGTAAAAAAAAAAAAACAAAAACAAACAAAAAAAAAACAACAAAAAAAAAAACACAAAACAAAACAAAAACAACAAAAAAAAAACCAACACAAAAAAAGTGAAAGGACTACTTATCATTTCCAGCAGTCACAATGACAAGTTAAGGTGGGTTATCAGTTCAAACATAGGACGGGGATTTCTTGTTCCTTTTTGGTCTAAATATCTTTCTTTTTTAATTATCATTTTATTGGTCTGTTGTACAGGCCATTATGTCATACAAGGTGTTTATAATCGTATCAATCTTATTGGGGGTTCCTTTCTTAACTGGTACAATTTAGGCAGGCCTGTATTACTGGTGTATCTCTATTATTATTATTATGATTATTATTATTATTATTTTTATATATATAGTTTGGACGCATTTGTCTATTGCTCCTGGATTATTTTCAGCGAGCTCCCACACCGTGGGGGGAGGGTGGGAGGGTGGAGAGGAAGAATGAGCACAAAGAGACTTTCTGTCCTAATCTCCTGGGAACGTTTTGAACAGTTTCCTCATCCTTAAATTTGTCTGACGTCTACTTAGAGGGGTCAGAAGGATTAATTTCCATCGCTTGTGCAGGAAGCTCAGTGTAGCAGTAGAGATGGTTGTGTGCAAAGATCCAGGCTGGTCTCTGCTCTTTGAGCAGAGGTAGCAATTAGTTGTGAACCACAGTTCTCCTTCTCTTAATTATTTAGACAAAACGGCCAAACTTTACACTTAGCTTCGTGTGCATGGTTCCTCTTTACTTCAGAGAGTGGAATTTAACCTCCTGAGTCTAGATTGTGTGGCATACTGATGGCTCTTTTGTCCTGTTGAGTTGATTTTGCTCTTAAGAATATTTTAAAGTCACTCAAGCTAATTGGAAGTATATGAAGCAGCATTTACCGTCCTGGATTTCTACCAGATGAATTGGTACAGGATTTCAAAAGGCCTGGCACTCTCTAATCGTAGAAGTAAATGAAGGAAAATGCTTCTAATGTTTCCAACATCGTATTTGGGAGAATTTTCTAAGGGGGGGGGGGCGGCAAATAAAAAAATTTAAAAAAAGCTTCTGGCTGCAAAACACCAAAACCAAAACTGTAAGAACAGAAGCTGCCATCTTTGATGCCAACACAAGAGAGTTGTCTCTGTTTTTGCACATACCTTGGTGATGTCGTGTGGTCTCTGAGCTGTGATGCTGCTAGCTATGTAGAAATGGCAGTAAGCATCTCTGAGCGGAGCGTCGGGACTTACCTGCCACTGTAACTGTCTGATTGATTCTGATCCATACAGCAAAGAGTATTTATGTGGATGAGGAAGAGTAATGGACTGTACAGAAGTTAGATCTGTATATTCTCAAATATACAATCTAGTATCTGAACCAAATAGACTTTTGAAAAGAGAAGACTGGATCACTGCAATGCAGTTCACTTTGAACTTCCATTCTGGATGGATTTAACGGTTTCTGCCATGTGTTTAAAACTAGATTTCTTTAAGCTTAGCAAGAGTATTAGAGAGTTCCTTCCCCCTACCCCCTTTCCTGTTGTCACCAGAGTGTTCTGAAATAATGAGCTAATGCAGCTATGTTCATTTTGTTGATGATTCAGGGGGATCTTGGAGTTTCTCATCCAAGATCCAGATGGCAGCAACTTTAAACTCTACATGTGCTCTGGTTGGTGACCTAAGCACGTGGGATTTGCGTTTGCACTCAAGTGGCAGAATCCCTTATCTCTCCCCCCACTGCCTTGGTTTTGCTCTGTTCATCTCTAACTCTCCACCTTCCTGTTTTACTGAATATTTAAACCAATTATCCCCGTAACTTCGAAACTAGTGAACTGCAAGCAGGGAAACTAACAAATGTCCGTCCACCGTTTCTAATGTGTTTTTGATTTTTTTATGTTTTATTTTTTTAAAACTAAGCTTGAACCAAAGTCAATTTCTAGCAAGCTGCTGTACTAATGGACTAGTTTGTATAAGTGCAGTTCAGATGCAGAGAGGCGATAGATGCTACTGACAATTTCTTTTTCATTTGTCTTTTGTTTTTATTAATTTTATATAAAAATTGCTGCTTGTTTTTAATCTTTTTTTTTTTTTTTTTTTTTTTTTTGGTTGGTTGGTTGGTAATTTGTATTATCCTTGGGGCAGACTCTTAACTTGACTTTGTTTTCTTTTGTTTGACGTGTAAATAGAATGGCAATGTCAGGGGTTTGTTAATCCAACAGGTCCCACCCTCATCCCACCAGTATGGCTAAAATTACATATTTTTGGGGTGTCTGATGTCTCTCTGACTTCAGGCTGCACAGAAGACTTTTAGGGCTATGAATAGTACTGCAAAAATGTAAATTTCCCACAGTAATAGCTTCGGAGCAGTAAAAGATACAGCTGGGTGAGCTTCAGGGAGGTAGGGAAGAAGTGGAAGAGGAGATGCTGGTACCCACTGTGTTGGTCTGGAGGCCACAGTGTGGACCACAGTTTCTACCAAAGGAGCACGAGCCCCATGGGACTTGTGTTCAGTGAAGTAAGAGGATGGGGAAAACTGCAGCTATTGTGTTCGTTCCTGAGTCTGAAAGTTCCTACTTACTTTCACGCCTGTGCAAAAATACAATTAATCAGGAAGCTTTTTCACTAAAGAAGGGATACGTCGGTCTTTGCTCCGATGGATCTTCTGTTCCCTAAAGATGTGGCAGGGTGGCATGGCTGTTGCATATATATAAGAAACACAAAGAAGGGTGGGCCTTAATCAGCATATCCTCTCTCCACAATTTAAAGAGACTGTGCCATTAGCTGTCTGAATGAGTTTTCATGTCCCATTCTTGCTGGTTTGTGACTGGGAGAGGGTCTTGTTGAGTACATATCTGGAACACTAATGCAGCTTGGATGGTTTATTTATTATAAAAAAATCTGCTTTTTTTCCTGACTACCTTTGCATTGGTCACATGGCTTTGGTGTGAGCACCTTAATACCCCCTTTCCCTCCTCCTCTCTACCCCATCACCCTCTCTGGGGCCCAGATTCCAGGGAATTTCTTAGCAAGCCTTTTTTTGAGAGAAACTGGAAACTCAGAATAGCCACATATCTGGAAAGGGCTTGATGTAGCTTCTGGAAGATGGCACAATACTCAAGCAGCACATATCCCATGGCTTTACTCACCAGCGTGCTTTGGTTAAACCCCAAATCGATTTGCTCAGATGTATTTTCCTGTGTCATCCCAATGACTGAGCATTGATCTCAGTGCCTGCTTTTCATCCCTTGCAGTGCTTTGTCTCATGGCTTCTGGCAACCTCCAGTCTTTGGGTGAAAGACAGAAATCAGGTGCGTGACTTCAGGGTGTGAAAGGAATGGGAGTGAGATCAAGTACAGGAATTGAGTAGAAGTTTATTTTTTAAATAATCATCTTGCTGACAGTAAAAGTTGTTGCATCTGAAGAGACTAACAATTGTATAGAGACTCAGTCAATGGGATCTTTGAAGTTCACCAGTGTTTGAAATGGAGAATTACTGTCTCTGGAAGCACTGGGACTTGCGTTGTTGCAGACTGGCAGACAGGCACAGAGCATACGTGTTGCAAACAAAATGATTTTTTTTTCCTCTAGTTAGGCAAAGTAGTGCCTCTGATTCCAGTATAAAGTGGATTTACATGTTGAATGGAGGTATTTTCTATGACATACTCACAGTCTTAAGTTCTTGCTTTCTTTTTAGGGGCAGATTTTCTCTAAGATTGTTCGTTTCTAGGATAGTTTCTAGCAGCGTGCTGGTATTTTGCTACTGTATTGACTTCTCAGCCAGGATCAGAAGAAATGTCAGTGTGTTAGAATATGTCTGATCGCATCTTTCTTTCTGAGCTCGTGGCTCTGTATTTACAGATCTGTGGGTTGCTTTTCACATTTGCAAGCATGCCAAAGGACATGTGCAAGAAAAGAGAATGAAAAACTCTCATATAGCCAAGGACAAAAACCACAAGATTTGCGGAGCCACAAATATAGATATGCCCTGAAGGTCTAGAAGAAGTATTTAGGAAATGGTTTCAGGGTGAGCTGTTGTAAGCTGGTGATGAATTTTTTTTCCGTTAGAAAAATTTATTCCTGTTTGGCTTTAGAACAGCTGAACTCCTCAGAATCTGCTTGCTGCAGTGAGAGTAGAATTATTCTTCGTGAACAGATCACAGAAAGTACACAGAAGTATTGCTGCTTACAAAAGTCACGTCTGTCTAAATCTCCTTAAGAGGATTTCTTTAGTTTCTGAGTTACTACTGTGTTTCTGTCGCAGTACATTTTATGATTTCCCTGTGTAGCTTTAAGATGGTATGTATGTGTATGCTCTCATAGAGTTGTTGGGGAGATAGCATGCTCATTACATGCAGGACCACCTAGTTTGTTTTTATGAGATTCTGTTTTTGTCCATCCTGTTGGCTAATGTCATTTGAACTCACTGTTTAGTTTTTCTTTGGGAAATTGTGGCATTGCACCACTGCCTTTGAAGATCTTCTGCTTCAATAAGGAGTTGTCGAAAGTACAAATTAAATTGGATTGCAAAAGTCATTTTGCCATGAATGAGAAATCTGTGCTCTGATGAACCTTCAAGGAGAACATGCTTGAGAGTTAGAAGGATTGTCATGTAGAAATGTGCAGCTGCTGTTGCTCAGTGGTTCTGTTTGAGGGCTAGTGAGGTTACTTTGCAAGAGGAAACTAAAGTGCAAGAACATTAGGAGGAAGGCATACTTCGATGGCTTGAATTATAGACCTTTTAGAACACGAGAGGCTTCAAGTTTGCATTTTATCTTGAAATGAACAGGCTGACAGATTTTCAGTGAAAACAGTGTAGGCCCTGAAGTACTTGGAGTTGCAGCTTGTGATTTCTTGCACCTTTTAGAGTTAATAAGGAGGATGCCAGTGTTAACCACAGTAGCTGTCTACTGGTCCTAAAACCTAAGAACAAATGCTGTCTTGTAGCGTGTTGGTTTTTCATTTGGTGAAGAGCAATGTGTTGCTTCTATTTTGCTCCTTCTCTTGTTTTACTTTAAATTCACGGTGAGCATCAGATCTAGACAAAAAATGTATACTT